ACTAAAATTTAATCTTTATATCAGCCAATCAAAATTACATCAACATTTAATCTTTACACCAACCAATTAAAATTGCGCTAGCATTTATCCTTTGCACCAGCCAATCAGAATTGCACCAGCATTTAGCCTTTGCACCAGAATTTAGCCATTGTGCCCAATTGCATCAAGGCTAATTCCTTGATTTAATTGCCTAAATTAAATCTGGCTAAATTCCTGGCTCAATTCGTATTGCACCTCCCATCCCTACCTGTGACACTCGAAACATTTCAAAATCCTGTATACATCCCATGTAGAATTTGTGCATCCTCAATATATACCCCCTGCATGAAGCATAATATGGAAATTGCACAAGTTTAAAAGAAATTGCGCAAGTTTGAAAGTACTATGCAAATCACATGGTACAAAAAAATTTTTTTTTGTAACATAAAAAAAAGTTCTTTTATCAAAAAATTTAATAAATAAAAAGCTTTAAATTATAATGAACTGGTATTGATCAACTAAGAGAAATTGTTTCCAAGGTATAGAAATGCTTGAATCTAAATTTTTCACATGGAGCAAATTACAATTTCTGTGACTTTGATCAAGAAAACTGGCATTGGCAGCTAAGTAAAATTATTTTCCAGGTATAGGGATACCTGAATTTAAAATTTTGTCCATATATCAGTTGTGTGGATCAAATTATAATTTTTTTTTTTAAATGCAACATTCTCACAAATTTTTTATTTTTTTTTGGAAATTTGGGAAATTACTTCCGTGGCTTTGATCAAGAAAACTGGCATTGAGCAACTAAGTGAAATTGTTTCCCAGATATAGGAATGCTTGAATTTAAATTTTTGCTTGTATATCATTCGTGTGAACCAAATTGACAAATTTTTTTCATACTCAGAAATTTATGACATTATTTCAAGACTTTGATTATGCTTAAATTAAAATATTATATTTTTAAATAAATTTTCATTTATAAACTATTTATTAATGACAACACATATCATAAAATTACAGATACTTAAAAAATTATATTGTGAATTTTTAACCATTAGAAAATGCTACACCATTAATTTCTTATTCTCTGATTATATGGACATCTGATGATGATAAATTATTTAGAAAACATACAAATTTTCCATCATAATAACTTTAGTACCAGAAGCTAGAGTTATGTTTTTACATAATCATTTATTTTCTAATGGCTTATATAATGGATCAATTGAAGTTGTACTGGAAATTTTTGATGAAGAAAATATAATAGTTGCATTTCCATTAGCACAGGAAATTTCTTGTGTAAAAGTCATTAAAGAGACAGTTTACTTATTATTTATAGATCACCAGCACAACATAAACAGTTTCCATTACAAAATGTATTTGCTTTGGCTGTGCATAAAAACACAAGGATGACATTACCTCATTCAACAGTTTCAATTGATGAATCCATGTTTGCTACTTTTCAAGCATATGTTGCTTTGAGTCCATTCACCATCATGGGAATCATTAAATTACATCATCTAATTTATCTGCAATTAAGTAGATGAACAAATGTTAAATGAATATACAAGACTGAAAGATATCTTTGATAAAGGAATTTGTGAATATATTGGCAAAGAATCAGTGGAATACATAAATAATAATTTTAAATTTTGAATTAATATCAAATAGTTTATTTATTATTTATGTTTATTATAAAATAAAATCATTTATTATAATTCAGTACTGTGATAAATTTAGCAAATATTCAAAATCATCTATATAAGTAAAAATTGAATTAGTAAATAAGTCCAAATAACATATGTTTTATAGAAATATTTAGTCCAGAATTCAATTTTTTTCAAAAAAAGAATATGTGAAAATCTATTTAGAATGAGTTGAGTTTTCTATTATATATTATGAAATATTTAAAGTTGTTAAAAAACCTGGTTCGCAAATTTTAAAAATATGTATTCATCACAAATAGAAGTTATTTTTACTCATTTTTGTGTTATGTCGGTTTATTATTATTTTATATACTAGGAGAAATTATCGAATGTAAATGATGTGAAACATAAAACTGGCACTTCTTCTATTTCATCCAATTCATCCATTACTTCATCTTCTCCTGTTACTTCATCACCATCTACTCTCCTAAGACTCACTTTGACGATTATTTTTAATTTTTAATTTCTAAACGTTTATTTTTATGTTCCAAAGTATTCTAAATGCTTATTATTCTCTTATTTACGAAAAAATGACTATCTTGCTTCTCATCGAAATGATTCGTTTGAACTTTAGATACAACTCATAAAACTTGACGAATGATCTTGTCAACAGTTTACCCGATGAGGTATGTTTATTTATATTATATATAAAATTATATTGCATAAAGTTGAATCATGTAATCCCAATATTAACACTTATAATATGAAGATTACTATATGATATCTATATTAGAATCTTTCCAAATTAAGTAAAGAGTTGGGATGAATTAAGTCTTGTTCAACATTTTTAGACGCGTTTTTTTTCTTCCTCTACTTTGCTTATTACTCCCATAAGAAAATTTTTTAAAATCATATATATATTTTTTAGTTATTATGTATATATTTTTTTACCATTTTATTACTTTTTTTTATAATAGCTTTATTTGATTTTAAATTATTTATTCACATAAATCAAAATATCTTACATCGAAATTTATGTAATTATTATTTTAATTATTATTTTAGGATAAACCTAATCGTAACAACTCATTGCATACGAAATATATAACAATCTCAGAAATAAGGCCGGGTTAATTAATTATATAATGACGTGCATGAGATAAACTTTATATAATTGAAGAAATTTATAAGTGAAAATTTTATTGTCAATCTTTAAATCTCGCTTCCCATTTTTATTGCAAATAATAAAATCTTTTGAAGTCTCGAATGATATATGATAACCAAAAAAAGTCCAAAACCCATTCACCTATTACTGTCGATTTTGACATCTTGTGCTATTATGTCCAGATTGACCGCAATTACCACAAATGTATTTTGCATGTAGTTCTTTTCAGTTGATTATTTATATCGTTTTGTTTCTGGGCATCCTTTGCGTCGTGATTCTAATGGATTTCCAATTTGCTCGAATTCAAATTCGTTTCCTTATTAGAATCATCAACTTGGATTTCCAGGTTATCTTGGTTTCACACTGATCCAAATTTACGTAATTACTATTTCTTTGTGCTGATCAATAAATTTTCTTGGCCACACAATCATAACACCATAACTATCGAGTTCAACAGCAAATTGAGCTGTCTGTCATGAAAGCCCCACAATTCTCCATATTTGACCTTTTTTGCGGCAGAACGCAGAACAGCAGTAACTGTTATAGGGATGGTTGAAGGATTTGGAGTAAGCATCACATCATGCCCGAAAAATTTTGCATAGTGTCTTGATTTACAAAACAACAAGTTTCTATCATTACATTTGCATCCTTTTGATTATCAATATACAATTGCGAAGGTATCATTTGAATTTGAAACCCTGTGATCTTTGAAATCATTATTACTCGAAAATAATGGTGACAAATAATACCACAGGATATATTTTGATATATACGAATAAAGGTAAGATATAGGATCAACTACTACAAAATGTGTATATTTTTTGTTTTCAGGTCACAAATCCACAATTTTCCATATTTCATAAAAACTCTTTTCGCCAATTTCAGCAGTCATTGATCTTAATTGAATTTGTTTAGCATCATATAGGTCTTTAATAAAATCATCTACTACATCAGCACTTGAATCCTATATAACAAAATTATTAGATTTTACTAATCTTGAATTTGAAAATAGACTTAAAATAAGATTTCATTAATTTAGAATTCAAAAATAAACTTAAATTATCTGATTCCATTTTACTTATTTTACTTGCAGTAAAATAAAGGCATTGTGACATTTCTAGGCAGTAGTCAAATACAAAAGAATTGCTGTACCGAATGATGATTCTAATATTAAAAATTACAATTCATATATCATAGAAAAGCTAAAAATTGACCATCCTATTTCATCCTATATTATAAATCAGTTAAAATTATTTACCCAGTATGTATGATTATAGCTCCTAATTCCTCATATTCATTCTCCAACTCTTCTTCCCAACGCAATGGCAGATTCTCTATCAACATGTACGAATTCTTCTACTTTAAGAGGTATTTTGTATTTCAAAAAATAATTTTTGCATTGAAAACAGGGAAAAATTTCATATCTTTAAATATTAAATATCATTCGTTTCATTTTTTTACTTTGTCGAAAATCGTGCAAGGATCACATAATTAAAAGAGCATGTCGAAAACCATTTTTATCTATTTCCAGTCACACATAAAAACTGCTTTATTTCACCTTAAATAGAAATCGAGTACGCCAGTTTAAATGTAATATAATGGTTACAATTTACCAAAGCTGTATGTATATTTCAAATCGAATCAAGATCTCCGAAAATAATTTAAATTAAAGGATCATTTTATGTACTGATAGATATATTTATTTGTAATACTTTAAGCTATACACTTTAAAAATCGAATTAAGATCTTTGAGAATAATTTAAATTAAAACTTTATTTTTTTTTATATACTGACATACTATTTATAAGTACGCAAAAATTGCAAAGTTAAAAATGAAATATTAATTGAAGTTAAATAGCTATTTAATTAAACACAATTATTTCTATTGATTAAAGATTAGAACTGATGTACATTATAATTATTCCAAATAAACTCTGTTGGAACTTCATTATGTAATTCAAAGAAATTATAATTAAAAATAAACCACCTTGAGAAAATTACCATAATCATTATTGTAAATTGACTACAAGCTTACCTTAAATCATGTTAATTCCCTCCACCAATAATTGAGCCATGTTCGCAACAATTAAAATCTGTCTTTCCATATTCATACAACAATAATTAAATCGTTTATCTTAAATCATATCAATTTAATTCCATCATGACGATAGTAGAACCACATTCGCAACAATTAAAAATCTGTCTCCATACAGCTATAATAATAAACCTTTCACTTTGTTTTTCAGAAGATAAAAGGAGTCAACCTAGCAGTGTTTTATTCGAGGACTATATTTAACTATCAGAAAAAACAAAATCGTGTTATTGGCAGCAAGATAAAAATGAGGTTATGCATAAATCGTTTCTTCAATTCGCAATAACTCTAAAATTCATACAAGTAAAGTAAAAAATCTTCGAGCCCATTGATATAAACATTACGGAAAATTATGAAAATACAAAATTAGAGATACAAAATTTCAACCAATAAAATTTCGTCACGATACCATGCGACACGTCGCAGGTGCGGCAAAAGACAAACCCATTTATAATTAATTATAAATTATTAATTTTTGTCTTTATTTATTTACATTCATTTTTAATATCAGTAAATAAATGTATAAATAGAATATAAATTTTATAAATCGAACCTTTAACAACTTTATTATAATTAATATTTATTTGTTACATTAATATTATTATTGTGATATTATTTTTTGGTATTTTTAATCATTTCAATATGATTTAAAACTTCATCAAGTTTATTACCTATATCTATTTTAATTTTTTTTATATTAAAAGAAATAAAGAAAGATTTATTATATTTATTAATAATTATATAATCAAATCATTAATAAATAACTTTAATATACTTACTATTAAGTCTTTCGTCTTCTGTATAATTAGAACTGGTTAATTTTGATAAAGGTAATATCGCAGTTTTAGATATTACATTAGTAATTGGTGTTAACTCACAAGATGATTTCAATACATTTTCTTGAATAGATTTAATATTAATATCAATATTTTTTTCTTCAGTATTATTGAAACTTGTTAATTCTTTAGATATTGTATCGTCAATTGGTACAAATTCAGATGTAACTTTTTGAGTTGAATCAATATTACTGTTAATATTTTCCTCTTTTGGATTATCAATTCTTAAATCTAATAAAAAAAATGTTAAGTATATATATTTTTAAAATGATTATTATACAGAATTTGATACTTACGAAGAATCGAAAAAGAATGATTATTATGAGTTGACAGGGCAGGTTTTTTATATGATTTATTTCGTGATTCATTAATTGTTCCTTCATATTTTTTGTTGATTAGCCTTTCTTTGTTCTTTAATTTCACTATAAATAAAAAGAAATCAATAATTCTATTTCATTTTTAATGTATTTTTTTTAAGAATACATACAAGTATCTTTTAACTGCTGAGATGACGACAAAAGCTGAGACAACTACAACACTAGTAAAAGCAGTTAAAGTACCAATATTTTTGGACAACATTCTTTTTAATATCTATGAAAGTTAGAAAAGATAGAAATTAGTTTTATATAACCAAATATAAACTAAAGATAAATAAGAAAAATATTTATATATAAGGAACCTGAAAACAAAGTTTTATAGAAAGACAAGAGCAAATAGCAGTATAAAAAGTAATGTAAAAGTAAAAAAAATATATGGAAGATAAAAGTTAAGTTATAATATCGGGTAAAAATTATATCAAGTATATGGTGAGATGAGAAAATGTAAATAAGATCTGAATGATCTATTCATTCTGTCGACTATTAAAATTTGTAGATCATTTGTTTAATTTGCAAGCAAATTATTTATTCAATTTGCATTCAAGTTCTTTAAATTCTTTAAAAAAACAGCATTGTGCATGTAAACTGATCGACATGTCAAATGTACCCAAATCAAATAAAATAGATAAAATTTATAATAAATAATTGATTATATTATTTAATCTTTCTTTGTACTACCAAATATATTATCAAAATATTAAGATTTCAGGTATTTGCATCCTGTTCGTGATATTTAATTTTTAAACCGTTTTCCCACCGAAATTGCATACCAAATACATAGCATTAATAGACTTAGGTTTTATGAAAGGTGTGACTATAAAAGAGGTATGACTATAGGAGGTGACTATAGAGAGGTCAGACTGTACTTGTAAAAATAATGAAGTTATTATTTTCGAATACAATATTAATTAGTTGAAAATTATGATGAAAATGATATCAATTATTATAAAAAAAATAGTCATGTAAATAACATGTACAACTAATGAAAAAGTCATAGTAAAGTCACCAAATTCCGATGATAAATTAGAAGAGAATTATATAATACAACACGCAACACAAAGCATGTTGTGTTAAGAGTTACGAAGATGGAAATTCCAAAAATGTGGTAGTAAAAAAAAAATTGCGGAAATTATTGCAACTGGTTAAATATGGGAATTAGATGAGAAACCATTGAGAGTGTAGGATTAGATTTTGCACTTTGAAGTTTGTATGCTTATTTTCATTATGATCAATAGATTCACGAATATAAATCAAAATCTCTTACTTCAACACAAAAAGTAAATTGTATCATGTATGTTATATTTTTTTCATAAAAAATTTTACTATTTTAGTAATGGAAAAGGTATTTATCAATATTCTTAACTTATTCAAGGAAAGTGTGTTCTAATAGTATGAATTGGGCAAATCAGATGTAATGTATTACATGCTAGTGATGAAGCTTTTGAGCTAACATTTAACAATATTACTCGACCATGATATACTTGTGTTAAATGTTATGAGCAACAAGGCAGCCATGCAAGTATTAAATTTGGCAAAGGAAGACAGATCTTAGATTGTAATGAAGATAGATTGCACGATGATGATATTTCAATTGATCTCGATTTGGTGTCTGGATGGTTAAATAGTATTGCACAATTAGAAAATAAATGTTTTATAAAAAAATTCTAAAATAATTTTTAGAAAATATTTTTCCCCTAATTAAATTTAAATCTAATTCTATTAATTTTTCCACTAAGTCCTTTTATATTGCGTATTATTTTAAAGCTTAATCAATTAATTTAGATTTATATTCTCAAATTCAAATTAACGAGAATATTTGTTCTTTATTAGGCAAACAATTTGATCAAAAAATGTATAGTTCTTATAATGAACTAAAAATAATAATCGCAAATTACAAAATTCTAAATCACTTTCATAATTCTAATCATTAATTATTGCTCTAAATTATCATTAATTGGATTGGTATCATTATATTAATAGTCTTTTTTTACCATGATTTAAATTCATTTTCTAATCAATGCATTCTTTTGATTCATTAGAATCAATATCAAAACTATTTTAAAAAGGTGAGGGAAATAAGAGAATATAATGACAGTATAAAGTTAGTAGAAACTAATGAAGGGAAATACAGTAAAATAGAACAAATAGAAAAGAACACGATACATAAATTTAGAATGCGGATTAACTTAGGATGCAAATATAATAATAATTATAGTTATGTACATCTGATGGGGTTTTAGCCATCAGTTCCTGAGGTTACACTTAGGCAATGATGAGTCAGACCGTAAAATGGTATTTTTAGTCAGTTTCAATAAATGTAAAATAAATTATATGTACAGTATCTTTAAAATTTACACCTAATTTATTAATAAAAGTTTATTGGAGCAAGAACCTGTTAGATTTAAAAAAAAATGATATATGCTTAATCTTATTATTTAATTTATTACAATTAATTATACATAGTTAAATAATAATAATTTATATATGGCTACCCTAAACATAAAATCATGTGATATGAGAGATTTTAAATAAATTATATACAAAATTATTGATAATTGTTACATATAAAACTCTCTATATTGTAAGTAAAAATCACAAACGTTACTAACTTATCTCAAATACAGAAATTAATTACATATTAAATTAAAAGGACAGACTTATATCATTAAAATTAAGCAAATAGTTATTATTTTAAAAGTTTTTATCCTTTCGAAATTTAACAGCCAATTCCTATCTCAATTTTGATGATATAGGTCTGAGCTTTTTATAGGAGATGTACATTATTCTCGCCTTTGAGATTACTTAGTACTGTTCTTAGTTTTTACTTATTAAATAAAAAAGGTTCATATGCAGTAACTATTGATAATTATTTTCAATTTTATATATATATAATTACATTATCCATCAACTCCATTGGTTTCATCAACCCTATCGGTTTCAATTTGAAGCTGATGAGGTTGACGGGGCCAATGGGTTAACTTGAGACTTATCAACACCATTGATCCAGCAACCCCATTTGACCCATTCAACCCCATCAATTTAGGTGACTTGGTCCAGTTTGGTTTGACCTTTAGGTCAAACTTTAAGTGTGTTTTATTCAAGGGTTTTCAAATACTATGTATAATCAGTGAGAGGTTACCATATTAGTCATCTTGATAGAAAATTCATTTACAATTTCCAATAACTTATTTGTTCTTTTTGATATTTCCCTAAGACAGGAAACATTCTGTTGAGTTTAGTTTTCTTTTTATTACTTCATTTAATTATGGAGTATTTTTGTTTCCAGTAATGAATATGCTAAGAGTCTTTTTCCATTGGGATTTTGGATATTGTAATAAATTTTTGAGGTCATTTTCTGCATAAAGCACAAAGTCAAAATCTGATTGAACATTATATAGGTCCAGTAAATATGGAGTGAGATTAATTCTTTTAATGTTTTCAGTTGAGATTTCAATTGTTTATTTATTGGTGATAATAATAAACCTTTCAGATTTCAGTTGAATATTTATTTCTTTCAGGTCTTCGGAAAGTTCTCAATAAATTTCTATTAATTTTTATTGTAATTTCTATAAAAATTCCATCTTTTTTACAAGAAATTTTCAGAGAATTTGATTTCTTTTTATAACTTTTTTCTAAATAATCTATGCAATGTAACTTTAATTTGATTGTTAGGTAACATTTAAGATCTTTGTTTATAATGCTTAATTAAAGCTGTGCTAATTGATGAAGTTAATTTGATAGGATCTGCTTTATCCCTTAATATTACAGTCTTATCACCAATCTTTTTATGTATATAGTAAGGACTTGTTCACCTTTGGATGAACTTATCACCATCGACATTTTGCTTAGAAGCATCATAGAATATAACTAGATCATTTTCATTAAACTTGGTAGCTTTATCCATTCTCTTTATTCATTCTTCTTGTAATCGTTGAATAGAACTAATATTATCTTTGCTAATATTATGGCATCTGTGAATATTCCTACTATGTGTGCTATTCATCAGTTTAAAGTTTCTTCATACAGTAGTTCAATTTGATTATTATTTATTTCTTGTGACAACTCTAATTGAATAGGAAGTTGCTCTTCTTTCCCATGTAATAAATAATAAGGGGAAAACTTAATTGTTGAATGCTTAAGTGTTCAGTATACAAAGAGTACAGAGGAAATTAAATCATCCCAATTAGTTGTGGCAGAACTTACATATTTGCTAAGTGAGTGACAAAGTGTTTCATTAAATTTTTCAGTTAGGCCATTTGTTTGTGGATGATATAGGGCAGCAAGTTTGTGCTTAAATCCAACTTCTTCTTTTAATAATCTCATTATCATTCTGAGAATACCTTTTCACAATTGGAAATTATACTGGAGTAGATTCCATGTTGACATATTATTTCCTCATAAAGGAAACTGGCTACTTCATTTACTGTTGCTAATTTACTGGCCATTTTGTTAAGTAATCAGTTGCTACAATTATATATTTATTCCCTTTGCTTGATACTTTTAATGGTCCAACAAAATCTATACAAATTTGGTTAAATGGTTCTGGTATGATAGTTTTGTTCTTTTTGAGTTTTCCTATACATTGACATTCATCACAAGATTTGATATATTGTTTAAACATCTTCAGCCATACTTGAACAATAATATTTCTCTTTAATAATTTCAATTGTTTTTCTAATTTCAAAATGTTCGCCCAATAGAAAACTATGATAATTATATAATAATTTATCCTTATCCTGTAAGGATATAACTCGAAAGAGTATATTTAAATTATGCCTATTTTTTCTATATAATATGTCATATTTACTAAGTAATTTACTGCTATTCTAGCTAACTGTCACTTTTGTTCATTATTAAAATTAAGAGAATATTCATGTTTCACTTAGTATTTACTGAATTCTGATACATTAGTATATCCATTATATTTTACTCTAATTAAAAATTAATATAATAAGGTTAAAAGATTATCAACAGGGTTTGTTTCTAATCTAGATAATACATCAGCTTTGGTATGACTACTTCCTTTCCTTCAAATAATTGTATTCAGTTCATACTCAGAAAGGTGAATAATCCATCAAGCTAATCTTCCTTTTGGATTCTTGTGTTTCTTAAGCCATGGTATAGCTTTATATTTAGTTATAATAGAAAATGATGACCCTTGTAAAAAGGTATGAAAATGTTTGGTCACCCACATAACAACTAAACATTCCTTTTCTATAACAGTATAATGAGTTTCAGCAGGGATTAAAACTCAGCTTGCATAGGCTATGACTCTTTCATATCCTTTATCATCTTTTTGTACTAATACTGTACCAATGGCATAGTTCAAAGTGTCAATATTTGATAAAAAGGTTTATTGAAATCAGGATATATTATTATAGGCTATGTCATTAAGCAATTTTTCAAATATTCATAAGCTTTCTTGCAATCTTCAGTTCAGCTAAATACTTCATCTTGTTTTGTTAGGTTATATAAGAGATGAGATATTTCAGAAAAGTTTTTAATAAATTGATGATAATACAAAGCTAGTTTCAAAAAATAATTGAACCTTTGTTTTGGTAGAAGGTTTTGGACAATTTTCTCAACCAAGGTGAAATTAGATTGAATTCTTTCTTTTAATATCATATGATCAAGAAATAAGATATGGTCTTGGTAAAAGTTATATTTATCAGGATTAAACTTTAAGCCTGCTTTTGCTAAAAGCTAAAATATTTGTTTCAAATAATTTTAATGCTCTTCACTAGTTTTTGAATAATAATATCGTCCATATAAACAAGAGTAAACTTAAAAAGGATCTCATAAAAAACATTATTCATAAGTCATTAAAATGTGACAGGAGCATTCATTAAATCAAATTGCATTACAGTAAACTCATAAGTATTAAATCAAGTATAAAAAGCTGTTTTCTCTTGATCTACAGGGTCTATTGCAACTTGTCAGAATTCTGAGGTTAAGTCAAGAGTTGAAAAATATGTACAGTTAACCAAGGTGTACAACATATTAGAAATTTTTGACAAAAGATAAGCATCAGGTTTAGTAACTTTATTTAATTTCATATAATTAACTATTAATCTTAATTTTCCATTTGCCTTTCTTACAACTAATGCATGAAAAGTCCAAGGACTTTTCAAAGGTACAATTAGTCCTTGTTGTTTCATATATATAATTTCTTCCTTTAAGAATTAACTATATAGGGGTGATAAACTATAAGGATATTGTCAAATCAGTTGGGTAGTTCCAGTATCTATGTAATATATTACTTCACTAGTTTTACCTATTTTAGTAAGATCTCTAATAATTATCTAAGGATATTGTGTTAATAAATTTTCTAAATTACTTTTGTATTCATTTTGAGCTAATCTTTCAAATCTTCCTATAACTTAGTTGACTTGGACATTTTGAATATCTTTTACAGGAATTACGTGTAAGGTACAATATCTATTGTAATCTTCTTTAAATTGTTTGCATTCATTTTCCTTGGTTATTAATTTAGATTTGCACCAGCAGGATTTATCTGGTCCTTTAAACTAATGTTTATATTTGTGCCAGTATCATTGTTCTTTCAGCTGGGGATTAAATTTTTCATTCATAAATTGATATTCCTCTCATGTTAATGTTTGGTGATCAATTTCAATTTCCCATAGGTCAAAGTGATAATAATGATTATCAGAACTTTCTTCTTTGGTAATGATTAAACTGAGACTATTAAGACCTATATCATCTTTCTCATCAGATGATTCTTTGTCTTCTTCATTCTCATTTTCTTCGTCATCATTCTCTTTCTCTTCAATTGGTATTGAAGTATCAAGAGAATTTCTACATTCAATGGCTGCAGATCATTTATGATCATGTATAGTTAATTTTGGAGGGTTATATTCAATTACTGCATATGTCCTTTGTAACCAGTCATTTCTTAAAACTATAGTATAAGCTTTAGAATTAATGACTTCTATATTAGTGGAGATAATTACATCTCCTAGATATACAGGAATATCATTAATAATTTCTAAACTTTCTTTCTGGTCTCCATAAATACCAGTGTTTTTGTGAGTTGAAAGTTGATCAGGTAATTACTAGATGTAATTTGCAAAATCCTTTGAAATAATACTAACAGATGATCTACTATCAATAATTATATTGATAGTTCAGGTAGTGACTTGTACTTTACACATCATAGAGGTATGAGCAGTGGCCATTCTAATTACCATTCCTTTACTTTTCTTTCTACTCTTTTTAATAGGATACTTGTGACTAAGAGTTAAGGCTTTCTTCAATTCTTTTTAAAACTGAAAAATTGTTAACAATTGGGTAATGCTAATATTTGATTTAACATGTAATAAATCAGATACAATAGAATATGACATGGTATCTCTATCTATTTGTGATTTCTCAGAAAAGATATCTTTTTTCTTTATAAGGTTCTGGTCTATCTAGTCTAGGGTTAGTGCACTAGAACCAAGTCATAAGGTTAACGGATCAATTCTAACTAGTTATAACTAGTATGGATAATAGTTTTTCTGTAATCCAAGGCTTGGTAGGTATCAACTAGTATTCTTGTCTAAAAGAGGATCATCTATATTCTTTTGGGTTCCACGTGTAAACATTCACTAACTGGTTATATGAATTGAAGTGTATGGACTCATACAAGATAGCTAGTGCTTAAATTAGTAGTTCAGAAGTCAAGTTCAATTTTTGAGATATTTTATTATGTTGGCAATGCAGGAATGTGGATAAGGATTCTAAACTCTGTACTTTGTACTTAGTTATGATAGCGATTATGACAGATAGCCTAGTCTATACATGAATTTTTGAGGTATTTTGACTTTTTGAAATTTATGCAGAATCTATTCTATATATAAAAGTAAAAAAAGTATTCAGTTATGTATATATTCAATCAAAGAATAAATCTGGGTGATCAAAAAATTTTGAATTTTAAGTAAAATAATTTCATCTTCTTTGAAAAACTATTTTGACTTTTTTTCCTGAAATTGCAATTTCAGGATCCCAAAATAATTTTGCATGCAAGTATAGCCTAGCCACTATTAGATGAAAAGTATAAAAATTTCCAAATTCTGCACACTCTAATTATAGAGTACCTGGATAGTGAACACCCTAGATAAGCTGTGATCTTGTAGTGCAATTTGTCCTTCCACAATGATATCTCAGTATATAACTATCAGTTCATTGCAGTATTCCATTGGACCACTGATAGTAGTGTTGTAACTTGGGATTTGAAGGATAATATCCTATTAGTCTAGTGCAGTTCACATGATAAGGCAAATAGTTAAGTCATGAGGTCTGTGGTACTTGTGGAACTACCAATAGAAACCTTTAGTACCAAACAAGAGTTGACCCTAATACAAAAAAAATAAATCTTTTCTTTTTCTTTTTGTCTTCAGGAGAATTACTCATTATTGCTCTTTCACTTCACTTATTTATTGAGAGAATTTGTACACAAATTACCTCTCTTTCTGTTGGTGTTATTTGTGAAAAACCTGTAGACAGTTCTAAAGGTTGATTATTGAATTGCTACTGTTGTTGTTGTTGTTGTAATAATTCTTATTCTCTTTGTTGTTGAAACCATTGTTGTTCTAATTTTCTTATATATGAGGGTTTTAAATTGTTTGACACACTATCACCCTCTAAAGGTATATGTTCTTTTTTAAATACTGTACTAGATAAACTTGTGCTAGGGGTTGTTGAATCAGTATTTCAGTTGTTACTATAAATACATTTTCTCCAACACCATTTTGTTGAAAAGGGACATTATTATTCTGAGAAGCTACTACAGGTTGAGTAGATTGTTGGAACTGTTGCATTTGAGAAACTTGCAGATACACTTGTAGTACTGGTTATTGAACTACTATTGGTTGTTAAGAGATTTGTTAAGCAAAAACTTGTACTACAGGTTAAGGAGTAGGATTTATCACATTATTAATGGGTTGCTGATTAGTAGTACAGTTTCCTGCAATATGTTCTGGTTACTTACATTTATAGTATATAGCAGGACCTCTTGGAAAACTTTGTCCTTGAGAATTTGAGTCTTGACTATAATTGTTAACATTATTACTCTGGATACATTTTGATTCAAATTAAAATTTCCTAATGTTTGCAACACTGCAAGAATATTATTATTTATAACAGGATTTTGAATGGGTGGAACTTGTTGGGATTGGGTATTATTCAGTTGATATTGATTCATTTGAGGAATACCAGGGTATTGACTATAAAATTCTACAAGAGTTTCAGGATATAATTTTTTATAGTTTTCAATTTGATTAATTTGATTTGAAACTTCAATGACTTGGTCAAGAGTAGTATTTGGTTGAAAGGTTAACTGTGTAATAACTTGTGTGATGATTTCTCTTAATCCTTTAATAAAGTGAAAAACCTTTTTAGATTCTGACATTCTTCTCTCAACATTAGCCTTTTTGATTAATTTTCTGATGATCTGGGAATATTAGCATATGGTTTTATGGAGTTGCTGTAATTTATTATTCAATTCCATTCTCCATTGTAACAGTTTTCCAGAATTTCTGAATTGAGTTAGAAAAGCATTTTTAAAGTTTCAATTATTAATGTTTGCCCAGGATTGGAATTGTATAACAGGATTGGTATCAACTTCGCCAAACCAAGTTCAAGCTTCATTCATTAAGTATCCTCTAACACTATTAAGTTTATTAGCAAAAAAATATCCATTTACTTCAGCACGTCAGTTGAATTTCTCTATTCATTTAACAGGATCTTGGTCTTCTCCTGAAAAGACAGGTAAGGTTTCAATGTGTCTAATATTTTGCTGCTGAACAATTTGGTTAAGATAACCAAGAAGTTGAGTTACATTTGTGTTATTCTTTTCTTCTTCTAGTTCTTCTTGGTTAATTTCAGATGTGTTAGAATCAGTTAAAGCATCTAAGTTTTGAAAATTACTTAACTATTCAAGGTTTATAGTAAAACTTCAGGCATATTCAAAACAATTTAAAAGGAGATTTAAAAGGATATCTCTTTGCCCAGGATGTTGAAATTGAAGTGTTTTTAACAAGCTATCAATATGAATTTCTATTCTAGTTGGATTTCTTTCTAATATTAATTCACCAAAACAATTAACAGATTGTTGGGTATAAGAATATACAGAAGTATTAAGACCAAATCAATTTTGAAAGAAAAAAATCTAACACTAATAAATAAAGGTGGGGGACTACAGACAATACAAGAAGGGTCTTGATAAAGGTGAAAATTGAATCTTTGAAATTGGATTAATTGTTCAGGGCAGTATGAAATAGATCACGAAATCAGTGTAATCTTTGTTGAATTCTCCAATTAAACATATATTTTTGCTAACCTCACAGGAGGCACAGTTTGTTATAAGCAATCTGTTGATGTAATTTGAAGGTTTAGTTTATTTATTAAGACTTTATGACCTTTATATCAAACTTTAAGTGTGTTTTATTCAATGGTTTTTCAAATACTACATAATTAATTCAATAAGTGAGTTCTTTTAAAGCAACTAGGGGGTTTTATCACATCAAGTTAGTTTGTGACTTATACAAGATGCAAGAGATAAAAGAATACAATAATAAGACAATAAATATAAGATAAATATATGGTTTATTAATAATATGAAGATAAAATAATAAGAAAATAATACAAAAATAAAATGAGACTCAAATTAAATACACAATTTAATTACTTTTGCCTCAAGAACAAAAACTAAATGAAATGTAAAAGAAAAATAAAACTAAAACTAGGCCTGTCTATTCCTTTGGATTGAGTAAAAGTACTCCTTATTTGTAACAATTTCAATTTACTGTGCCTTATTCCTTCACATAATAGAAATGTTCCTTCATGACAGGAGATAATTACCAGGATAATCATCTAGATGATTATCTGGGGTGATCATCTAGAGTAATCATCCCATATCATAATCACAAACAAATGTCTACTCTGCTTTGTAATACATTAGGCTAATATAAATGATAAACAAAATACAAACTCTAAAAATAACTATAAAATATAATTAAAAATTTACTAATAAATAATAAGAAATAAATTTTTGCACCACAGTATTTCTGGCCAGAGATGCTCATAATTTTCCATATATTTACAATATTAACAAATAAAAAATAATATATATAATGTGCAGTGTTAACTGGAATTCATCTTTGTAAAAAATATGGAAATAGTGCTATAATAACAGCACTATTATAGTGAAACTATAGGTTTATACAATAAAGTATAAAAACAAAGGTTTTACTATTACAGGTTTTATTTGTAAGAGGCAGAAGAGTGAGATTTTTATAAGGGTAAGAGTTACTAAGATAAAGTTACTAAGACAAAACTATATTAAAATAAGTCACTAAGACAAGGATAATTCACTAAGAATTAACAAAATGTTTCACTAAGAAACAATACAAAGGGTATTTTCACTAAGAAGGGTATCACTAAGACTATCACTAAGAGTTCTATTTATTTTGAGTGCAAAGAATGAGAACTGAGACAAGAGAAATTCAGTCCTTTATATACAAATTTGAGTCATAATAGATTACACTGTACTCTACACTAGTGCATATGCTATTGATTACAATTTTTCTTATGCTGTTGATTACGCTGCTGAATACACTATGTTTCTAAATGATTTATATGATTTTTGTAATAGTTATTATAATATAATAATATAGGAAACTATAACAATATATAAATATAACAATAATAAAATAATAAATAAAAATTATAAAAATATATAAAATATAAATTATATAGAGATTGTTCTTTTTGATCACATTTAGCTACTTGATACTCCTTACTAAAATATCTTAGACAGGATTCATCTATTTTTTCATATAAATTTGCACAGTTCTTTACTTGATATCCAAAATAGCCACAAGCTAAACATGATGCTTTAAATTCAGATGTGAGCCATGGTGAGTTAGATTCAGATATTAAGGTATTTTCAGAAGACTCTGGAATTTTTGAATTAAAGACTTTAAATAATTTAATATTTGATCAAGTTGTCTTTTATTATGAACAAAAATTTCTTTCTGAGCTTTGAATTGTTATTGTTACTGGAGGTAACATTTGAATTAGTGGTGTTGGTAGTCACAGGTCAAATACAAAAGAATATAATTAGAAATTCGATTTTTGATATTTTTGATTGATTTATGCTAATTTTTAACTGATTCATGATTAAGAATTCTAATTTGTGCCAATAATTTTTTTGTATTTGATCAGTGAGCGTTGGTGTCAGTGGTATTGTCATCTAAATTGGTCATTATTACAAATTGTTTTTGCAAAATATAATAAAAAATTCATGATTCATATGTTGTGAAAAAAAAAATAAAAAATAATTTTATTTTTAAAAATGAAAAAGTAATTTTATTTTGAAAATTAAAAAAAAATAATTTTTTTTCATTTAAATAATGAATTTATCAGAACATAAAATATTTTTATCTATCATGAGAATCATGTTAATAATGCTTTGTTTCTCACAATATGAATTCTATAATTAATAATTTTCATACAATTAATCCATTTTTGATTATTTCAATGGATATTTGATAAAAATCAAACTTGTATTTTTCGTTGAACCCGTAATTAAGTTGTTTTAATAGAACGTTGCGCAATATGTTTAATGTTGCGCGTTTAATGTTTATCATTTATTTTTTTATAATTGAATATAATTCATAATTGTTACCCTATATGAAACATTTTATTTTAATAAGCAAATGTCAATAAGGATACTAATTAAGCTAAAGACAAGAAAGAATTATACATTCAATAAAAAGAACAGACCTATTTTATTAAAATTGAGAGCATCTAAATTTTAAACGTGTAAAAAGTTTAAAACCAGATTATTCACTCAATTTTGATAAAATGGGGCTCTTCTTTTTATAGGAGATGCAATTAATTTTTGTCTTTGAGGTTACTTAGTGCTATTTTTGACATTACTTACCAAAATAAAAAGTTTTACTGTATATGTGGTAACGATCAAAATAAAAAACAGCAGTTGCTCAATTAATTCAACAATTTACACCGATTCCAGGGAAGTTGGAGTTCAACTTGCATCAAGATTTATAAGGGATACATTTTTAAAAATTTACATTTTGATTTTGCTCACAATTTAAGTGATGGGGCGCAATTTTATACTAAGGTGTTTCAATGATAAATTGAAGCACCTTGTTGAGGGCTAAAAGATGAATGTTTTTAACTCTGTAAAATCAATATTCACGGAGTTAGTGTAATTTAAAGAAAATGTCTATAAAAAATCTTGCAAAAATATTGTAGAAATTTTCATAATCTAAATTTCAAAGTTTTCTGGAGATTTTCACAAGACATTTTCTTTAAAACTATAATAACTCTACAAACATTGATACTACAGAGATGAAGTACATATTATTAACAAGGTGCTTCAAGGTATTGAAGCTGGGTTTTCATTAGGTCTTCACCGAAAAACACTAATTTTTGGTTAATGTTAGCTGAACCTCTCCTACAAGGACTGTCAGAAAATAATTATGAATAATGATTACAGAAGTTGTATGGTTATAGTTGATGCAGGAGTACTAATTTTCACCACTTGCGCGAATTTACGCAAGTTTTCGTGCGTTTTTTTTCGTTTTTTCGACTTCGCTCGCGATTTTCTACTAAGGTATTTCTGAGATAGATAGGACTGACTTGTTCTTAGCTACCAAATGGTAGTGTTTAATCTCTGTAACATCGATATTCGCAGAAATCGTTCGGTTTAAAGAAAAGATTTGCGCTTCGCAATCTTGCAAATTTTCGAACGATCTCCGCGAATATCGATGATACAAAAATGAAGCACATACCATTTTGTAGCTAGAACAAGGTTGTTCTATCTTCCTTAGAAATGGTTTTGTAGAAAATCACGAGCGAAGTCAAAAAAATGGAAAAAACGCACAAAAAACTTGCGCAAATTCGCGCAAGTAGTGAAAATTAGTACAAATTTTCGCCTAACAAAATTTCCTGATGTACTATTAGCTCATAACTAGGCCTGTTATAAATGTCAAGCTCTATATTGTGATAATGTGCATTGCACTTGGCCAATTAACAGCATAATAACCTATTCTAAGTCTATGGGTATTGGTCAACACTTTCAAAAATGGATGCTTAAAAAATTTTATGTACTGTATATAATTATTTTTTTTTAATTTTTAAGATATGCTCATGTATAATTTAACAATAAAACAATAGAATAGAAAGTTAATTTTGTAATATATTTCATTAATAAAAATATATCTAATATTACATAAAAATACAGTATATATATTATTGTATATCAATAAAAATACATATAAATATAAAGATAAAGATAAATATCAATAAAATACATATAAATATAAGATAGATATTAATAAAATACATATAAACATATAAATATAAATATTAATATAAAATACATATAAATATAAAATACAATACATATAAATATAAAAAACAATATATAGAAATATAATAAATATAATAATAATAGAATAGAATAGAATAGAATAGATATTATGATAATACAACCGTAACACTTCCACCCAATCTAAATAAATAAAAATAAATAAATAAATAAATAAATAAAAATAAATAAATAAATAAAAATAAATAAAATTAATATTAAATTTTTATAATGAAAAAAAATTCACTGTAAATAATTTAATTTACCTTGCAACTGAACTTGAATGTTCTGATGAAATTATCATATCTCTTTTTCCATCACCATTGAAATCAAACATTAAAATCTTATTTCCAAATCTTGATTGTTTTGTTGGACCCGTCATACATTCATCTGCTACTATTTTCAAAATTTTTTCATCATCACCATCATCATCATTATTGATTGATGAAATAATAGATTCTAATGAATATCGAAATATTCGTCCCGATTCTAACAATAATGATGATAACAATAATAATAATTTGAATAACTAAAGAAATAATAATTTGAATAAATTAAATAATCAAATGAATGAAATTTACCCCAAGAAGAAAATGGTTCAGAAATCCAAAATTCTTTTTCCATTTCATTCCAATATATTTCATTACCAAAATGGGATGCACTCTCTGCACCTAATAGTAATAAAAGAATACCATTTCCTAATCTCATATTATAATCTGATAATAAAGTTCCTTTTTTTAAATAGTTCATATTTATTAATCGGACAGATCCTGCCTGCCAGTATTTACCATACCGAGGAAATTTTTGTATATGCATCTAAATGAAAAGTGTAAGATATTATAAAAATAATAAAAATGTGAAATAGAATATAATAAAAATGGGAAATGTAAAAATGGAAAATGTAAGAAAAGAACAATTGATAAGAATAGAATGAGAAGAATAACTCACCTCAGATTGTGCAGAGACCATTAGATAATCACCTTCATTATCCAGAAAATCACCAGCAATGATTTTACTAATATTTTTAATATTTAAATCATTAAATATTTATTATTAATATTGAATAATTTTTTCTGGGCATTAAATAAAAAAAATACTTACTTTCCAAATCCTTGAAAATCATCTGTTCCACTAAGATCAAATTTCAGTACGTCAAAATATTTATCATTTTTATTTACGATTTCAAATCCATAAATCTTTCCTGCCATCCGAATATTTGATTGATCATTATAACCTGGTGCACCAACAATTACTATTGGTAGTACTATATTATTATTATTATTATCATCATTGTTGTTGTTATAATAATTATTATTATTATTTATTTTTCTTTTATTGTAAACTTCAATGGAAGTACCAAATAATTCATAATTTTGATCACCGGGACTTTTTAATGACCAATCATTATCAAATACCGTAATGTTACCATAATGTTTACTACTACTATGAAATACAAATATTCCTCCGGTTTGTAATAACCGTGGCTAAAAAACAAATGAATAAATATAATAATTTATATTATATTTTTAAATAATAAATTAAATATTATATTATATTAAATTAATAAAAATTATCAACCGTTCTAAATTCATTATGAAATCCACAATATGGACATCCTATCAATAAATCACGATATCCATCTCCATCAACATCGCCTGATGCTAATACTTGACCAAATGCTTCAATCTGCCAATCGTTATCCAATCTTCCATATGATTTAATTTGTAAATCGGGTTTTTGAGGTAATCCGTAATCATCTTTATCATCATCATCATCATCATCTCCATCATCACCATCTCCAAATAATGTCTTTCCATTACTAAAAAATAATGGATTTCCAAATAATATTGCTTTATTGAATAATTTATTCAAAGACCTTTCATGTTTTCGTTGTTGTTGTCGTCGTCGTCTTCCAAAATATACGTAAACCTTTCCTGTATATGAATCATTCGAATCATAATCATCATCATCATTATTATCATATAATGCATTATATAATGGTGCACTAATAGCTAAATCATCGATTCCATCAGAATTTAAATCAACTACGGTAAGTGACCAACCAAAACGTGATTGTTTAACTGAATCAGGACAGAATATTATTTGATCAGCCAATTCATGAATATTTGTTGTATTAAATGAAGTGGTTGAATTATTATTATTATTATTATTATTATTATTGTTTGAATAAGGATAAGTGGTCGTTTCGTTAGTTGAATTTTTTCCATAAAATATAAATACCACTCCTATTTGAGGAATATTGGGAATTTCACTATAATAAGGTGCACTAATTGCTACATCTTCAATTCCATCTCCATTAAAATCACCTATCGTCATATCATGTCCAAATGCCGCATATTCATAAAAAATATCTAATTTGATCACTGATTCTGGCATTGTTTTACATACTTGTATCATTCCTGATGAAGTTATTATTGCATCATCACCACCATTATTATTATCTTGTGAATTTTGAATATATTTATTATATTTGGTTTTATCATCACCGAAATCATCGAAAGTAGTGGTAGTAGTAGTAGTAGTAGTATCGGAAGCAACCTCAGATGTTTTATTAGAAGGCGTAATTTCAAATTGTCGATGAATTTCGTAATGAGTAACACCATGAGAATCAATATATGAATCAATATGATATCCGTTAGTTTCCAATAATTTTAATGAATATGTTCGAAAGAAATAATCTACATCAGATAATTTAGGAGGTGGATGAATTCGAAGTTGAGGTGATTTACCAAATGATTTACCAAATGATTCATTAAATGTTTTACAAATATCTGATAAATTTATACTGGGTCCATTTTCTAACCATTTTGAAAGTCCATGCCAACATTCATGAGTTTCTATGCTCATACTATTTATTCCTAAAAAAAGAGATGCCGTGAGAAGGAAAGAAAGTGTGAAATAAAATAATTAAATTAAATTACCTCCTCGGTGATAATCTTCTAATTTTTCTATCAAGAATGGTGACTGCAAAACATCATCATTATATATAGTTAGTTAGTTAGCTAAAAAATAAACATAACAAACTTCACACATGAATTAAAATTTACCTTTTCTCCGTAAGCGGAAAAAAACATTTTCCCAAATCTCTATTATAATAATTTACAATAATGTGTTTCAAATTCTGTTAATTATTCTATTCTAAATATTATTATTTATTATTACTTATTATTATTTATTATTTAGATTTAATTATACTTTTCTTTTCTTAACAATTTCTCGCAAAAAAATAAAAATACAGTACTTTATTGGCTTGAATAGCCGCAAATGCTTGTTTAACACAATAATCTATATGTTTTCTTAGTACTGATTGATTTGTACGCTTATATATTTCTATCAAGTCATCTACTGGTACTTTCCATTTGTCCTAAAAAAAGAGCGAGAGGTGTGAGAGTATAAGAGTAAGAATAAGATAGAGAGAGTGAGTGTGTTAGTGAGAGAGAGTAAGAAAGTGTGGGTTGAGTGTGGGTGAGCGAAAGAACAAGACCAAGAAAGAATTACATACTTCCAAATAATCCAAATTTGCCATATGTGAAATAGTAAATTCTCCACCTGTATCAGCTGCTGAATGAGCTGTGCCCCAATTTTGATTAAAATTCATTTCTGACATTGCAGTTATGAATCCAGAATGCATTCCTATACTATGCCATGATATATCTGCTGTACCATGAGAAACTATCGCATAAAGAAATGATATTACTTCCTAAAAAAAATATAAGATCTGAATTAATAATATAAATTAACAAAATAACAACGACGACAACAACAACAATAAATAATAATCATCAACCTGCCCATGTTTATCTTTGGGATGCCATTCACCTGAAGCCAATTTTTCTCGAATATATTCAGTTGCAATTTTATAAAAGGGTGGCCAATGTGCTATAATTATATTACATATTTTACATGATAAATATAATTATATTTAATTATTTATTATATATTATGAAATTAAGAATATGAATTACCGTCTTCAGAAGAGTTGTCATTATTTTGACATTGGTATCCCCTATAATCAAAATAATTAAAATTCAATCAAAAAATCAAAAAAATTCATCAATATCAAAATCAATAATAATAATAAAAAAGATAATCCCAATTCAAAGAATTTTTATATACCAATCAGGAAAAAAGGAACCCGCCTATTATTTCTTGCCAATTTTCAATAATAAATATAATAAGTAAGAGAATTTTTATAAAATATAAATAATAATAAATTATTATTATCGCTCTATCACACCTGCACAAATTGAGGATTTTGTCTAATATAATCAGCATATTTTGTATATTCTTTTATCGTAGGATTAAATGTATATGCTGCTCGAGCTGTAACTTCATTATGAATACTCATACCACAACCAATTATCATATTTGTTAATGAACATAGAATAATAAATATAATATATATAACATAAATAATATGGTTATTATTATAAATTATTTTTTTTGTCATTTTTGAATATATTTTTTGAACTTGTATAAATAAAAAAAAATGGAATATTTTTTTTTTTCGAAAAATAAAAATAAAAAAATATATAATAAAAAAATATAAAAATATAAAAATATAAAAAATATAAAAAAATAAAAAAATAAACAAAGAATACGAAATTTATTTGTTTTTTGTGTCCTTTTAATCACCTTTGACAGGTCTATAATAAGAATAGCAAATATACTGTATAAATAAATAAATATCCGATCGATTTGCGTAAACCACATAAAACAAGTAAATTGATAATGATGATAAAAATGTTCGAGTTTCACTATTGTTCTAAAATAATAGTAATAATGTAAATCAATTATATCGATGTCAGATACAATAGCTTATTTTAGAAATTTCATAACTAGTCTAGTGTTACATTAATTACAACTTATTCTATACACACGTGATAAATTCATAAAATTCATATCTCCTATAATGGTACTAAAAAAGATTAATATATAGTTTTAAATAATATATGTACATGTACTTACTGGAAATCTGTCCTTCTATACTTGAACTAAAGTTAATATAGTGTATATATATATTATAAACAACTTAGATTAGATTATAAGCATCCGAATTTTTTAAAACAAAGTATTTCACAATATTTTGCTGCAGATTTAGGTAACCTCTGCTGACCTCTGAGGTTAATATTTACTCTAGAAAATTCCGAATAAACAAAATTACTCTGGAAGTTAAAGTTCCATAAAATTTACTAATGTATTTCAATTTATATGTATATTGTCTCAACATGACACTACGTGTGGGAAGTCTTCCAATGTTTGATTAGTGGTGATTGATGTTGTTCAGTAAGGTGTCGACAGGGATGGGATGATGAAAATAAATTTTTTTGTACTTTTGACCTAAACTGATCGTAGTTTGGTGCATGTTTTTTACGTATTTTAGCGAATGGTGGGGTGGTAGGTTGGAAAATTTCTAATCTTAGCTTATACCTTATGTAAAAAAAAAAAAAAATTATTGTATTTTTGATATAATAAAATTAATGGCGAAGGCAAATAAAAAAAAAAAGTCTCAACATGACACTCTCCACATTCTCCAGCATCAACAATTTATTCTTCAATTTATTCATATGTATTGTAGTTCCTACATCATTATGTAAATCCCAGAGAATATCATTCTTTTGTTAATGATCTATTCTTTTTATTTTTTCCATTTACAGTCAAATAAATCCTTTCTATCTGGATCTAACTCGCTTATAAAAGGTAAAATCATTAATTATTACCTTAAAGTAATCATACAAGTAAACTCATAATTATCCTTATTTATAAATAATAAAAAACAATAATGCATGGATGAAAATAAATAACTAAATATATTTATTTAATTTATATATTTTGATTTTAAATATTATTTATTTAAGGATCATTCCAATCAATATTGTCAAGATCGAAATTTGAATATTGTATTTGAGGTAAAAGAGGTAAAGGTTTGCTTATTAAAGTTGCTTCAGGATGAATAGTATCAATAGATAATGATTCAAAATCTTCTTTATATATTTCTTGATCTGCATTTAAAAACATTTGTGAATTTTTTGTTTTTATATTACCATTTAAATGTCCAATCCATTCGCCTAATAAATTATAAATCATTTCTGTATTTGGACGCTTAGATGGTTCTTTATGCCAGCACATTTTCATCAACTCTACATAACATTGGGGTGTACCTTTATTAATTTCTGGTCGAAGTCCATCAAGAATGTTAAAAAGTAATTCTGAATCATATGCTCTGTTAGCAAATGGTATTTTTCCTGTTGATATTACCCACATAATAATTCCAACACTATATATATCAGAAGCTTGTGTGCATTGGTTTTTTTCCAATCTCTCTGGTGCAATATATGGTAATACACCATATGCTCCAAGTGATGAATTTTCATTTGCAAGTCTGCATAATCCTAAATCTCCCAATCTTATAAATCTTGCATTGTTATATGCTTCAGTTACCATAAGATTACCGGGGTGAAGATCATGATGAATAAATCCTTTATTATGTATGACTTCTAATCCACTAATAAAAGAATTCAACAACCATAATCTTTCAATCCAAGGTAATGCCTTATTTTGTTGAAGAAAACTTCTTAAATTTCCATGTTTCATATATCGTAAAATTATTGCATATTCTTTTGTCATTGGTTCTTGAGTTATAGCCAAAATTGGTAAGACATATTTATTTCGACAATAGAAATTTACTATTAACTATTTTATGAAATTATAAATTAAAAAATAAATATTCTATATGTTAAAAAAAAAATTAAAAAAAAAATATATTGACATATTTAATATTTACCTCAGAAAAAAATTCATAACTGATTTCTTGTAAATTTTTAAGTTTCTTCAAAACAACTTGATTTGTATTATAGAATTCAAATATTTCTTCAGGCATATTTATCCATTCTGCTTTCCAAACACTTCCAGACCCCCCTTCAGATAAATATTCAATATTTGAAAATTTACTATAGTCAATCCATCTCCAAGTTTCCCATTCCTTTGCACTTTCATCTAAATGAGTTGCTTGAATCATTACATCAACTAAATCGTTATAACTACTAGGATATTTTAATATATAATTTAATTCGATGTGTTTACAATTTTTACATATATTTTCTCTTATATGCAAATCCCCACAATCGTGACATCTACCAAAATTTTGAAAATATTTTTTGCAAATTTCATTGCAACCATTTATTTGCCAACAAATACAACAATTGTAATTATTATTAGCTAAATTTTCAATAGTGTTTAAATTACTAATGGATGATTTAATGATTGCTAAATTTGAATCTTTTTTAGTTGTATCATTATTTTGATATTTCTTAATTAATGGGATTCTAATTTCATTTCGATAATAAATTTCAATTAATTTTTGTGCATTTTTATTTCCTTCTTCAGCCGATTTTACATACCACTGAAACGCTTTCTCTTCATCCTTTGTAGTCCCAACCCCTCTATAATAACAATTGCCAAGATCACACTGCCCGCTACTATTTCCCCCTTCAGCTGATTTCAAGTACCACCGAAATGCTTTCTCTTCATCTTTTATGGTTCCGATTCCGTTTTCATAACAATAACCAAGGCTATATTGTCCGTCATTATTTCCCCCTTCAGCTGATTTCAAATACCATCGAAATGCTTTCTCTTCATCTTTTGTGGTTCCGATTCCGTTTTCATAACAATAACCAAGACTATATTGTCCATCACTATTTTCCTCTTCAGCTGATTTCGAGTACCATTGAAATGCTTTCGCTTCATCTTTTGTTATTCCTATTCCATTTTCATAACAACATCCAATATCAAATTGTGCATCACTATTTCCTCCTTCAGCTGCTTTCATATACCAATGAAATGCCTTCTCTTCATCTTTTAGAATTCCAGTCCCATAATAATAAAATTCTGCAAGATTATACTGTCCAATGTTATTTCCTTCATCAGCTGATTTCAAGTACCACTGAAATGCTTTCTCTTCATTTCTTGTGGTCCCAATCTCATGTTGGTAACAATCTCCAAGAAGATTCTGTCCATCACTATTCCCACCTTCAGCTGATTTCAAGTACCACAGAAATGCTTTCTCTTCATCTTTGATGGTTCCTATCCCAAATTGATAACACATCCCAAGTTTACACTGTCCGTTATTATTTCCCCCCTCGGCTGACTTTAAAAACCATTGAAATGCCTTTTCTTCATCTTTCATAGTTCCAATCCCGAGTTGATAACAATCTCCAAGAAGACTTTGACCATTACTATTTCCTCCCTCCGCTGATTTCAAAGACCACTGAAATGCTTTCTCTTCATCTTTGGTAATTCCTATACCCTCATAATAGCAACTGCCAAGACTATACTGTCCGAAATGGTTACCCTCTTCAGCTGACTTCAAAAACCACTGAAATGCTTTCTCTTCATCTTTTGCGACTCCAGTTCCTAATAAATATAAAACTCCAATAATACATTCTCCATAACTTTTTCCCTGTTTTATACTCCTCTGAAATTTCCGAAATACGTTATTAATAGTTTCCATTTGTATGGAGTTTTTATAATATACAAATTTTTTTACTAATGTTAACGTGGAATAAATTCAAATGAAATTGGAACAAAACAAATAGATAGAATAGTAAACTTTTTATTCTCTACTATTCTAAATATATATTAAAAATGTGGTTTAAAATTATTCGAATTAAATTTTGATGCTAGAAAGATCTTAATATTTTGTGAAAGATAAATAATAATGGTAAATAATATTAAATATCTGTTGTCATGTCATGCGAGATAGAATTTATAATTCATTAAGATTTGTAGAATTTCTTTTTTATGCAATTAATGTTATTCAATTAAATTCTGATCAAACATTCGTGTTCAAAAATGTTTACATAATATTAAGAAATTTCTCATTGCGCATAAGACCGGAATAGGAAATCTTTTTGGAATTCCATAATAAATTTTAATTCTTTTTCACTCTCTCCACTCTCTCCGCAAGTAACATTTTAAAATTAAATACGTAAAACGTATAATATTGATTATAAAAAAAAAAATAAAAAATTTTAGTGGTTCTCTTTGATAATCTGTTCTTCAGACTAGGATTGCAACATATGAACACACCAGGATTATGATACCGTACATAGTGTCGCCGAAAGTCGTATAGATCGTTGTGTGCCGTATTTGAATTTGATTATGTATCATGTAATACCATCTTGTAAATTTTTTTAATAAATCGTGTGATTTAATTTCTTTTATTGATTATCTATCCATCCATTACAACACGGAGTCCTGTACTAGAAGATATTTCTGAAGAGAATACTTGCTTTACAATAATGATATAATAGTCAAGAAGGTGTATCAACACCTAATACTGGTTATATTCTCAATAAACAAATAATAACTATAGTCATAACATTGTATATGCTCATGTCTATACATGTTGCCCAAATTATCAAACATAGTAAATTAATTTTTGGTTTTGGATTTTTGACTATAGTAATTTCATAGGAATTTAGGATTTGAGATTTGGGATTTAGCTTTTGACTTTGGGTATTCAATGCAATGCCTACTGAAATATCCAAATATTAATTTATCAAAATATTCAGAATTATTCCCATCTATATATACAGTACAAATAATATCAAATTTTTATTATTTCCACCAATAATTTTTATTTTTTATAGTTACATTTTCACTACAGAGATTAAAGCTTTTAAGAGAATTTAAATTACTTTTTCAACTTTAGTCACGAAAAATGTGATTATGCACAAACTATAATTTAATTATTTTAACTTATGATATTATGTCTGATGAAGATTTATTATTTCATAGGAAAAACAATTCCAAAATAACAACATGAGTATATGATAATATTTTAAATGAGTCCGATTTCTTCTGCTTTCATGTCCATAATTCAATACCACCAACTTGTACTTAATTCTGCACTTAAATTAACCGTTTTTGACAACCCGTACATGACTTTTTCAATAGCACCAATTCCAAAGTCTTCATCAATTGTAAAACTCTATAGAAACTTTAGAATGTAGATAAAAAAAAAAGTATGATTATATTTATGAACAGTCGATCCTTGATATTTTGTTTTTATTAATAATTTAAAATTTTATTTAACATAATTAATAGAAAATTGCTAAAGCCCACCACTGAGAAAAATTAAATTTATGTGAGCAAAGTAGGGCTAACTATTTTTACTCGAGTAAAATTGCTTTAATGTAATTTCAAATGAAAATCAGGTGATTATTAGATGTTTTCTAAGTCCTAATAAAATTCATCTGGGTGAGGATTAACTTTTTCTATATTTATTTAATTTTGCAAAAAATAATTACAATGTTAATACTAACAAGTCATCGCTAATTGTAATGATCTTATCAATTTCTAGATTCTATTGATAAATAACTCATTTACGTGTCAACAGAGAAGAATGACTTTGATTCGAAATTTTTGGACTATTTCTTTAGTATTTATAATTAATATTATTTAATTTATAATATTTATTTTATTAATTAACAAAATCTAAATAAACAATAAATAATTTAATTTAAACTCAAAATATATATTAATTAAAAAATTGAAAATTAAATAAAATTTAATGGCAAACCTTTTGTATTCTTCAACACTCTTTTGAAAAACAAAATTTTCAACACTTGACAGTTTATCCATACATAAAATACAATGTTGTTGTGGTTATCTCTTTAATATATTCATAAGTTGATTTTCTTCTTTTCCTACTGGAAACCTCTTTCTTTTTTTTAAAAAAAAGGAAAGAACGAACTAATTATTACTTTATTCTATATTTATTTAACCAAGCAATAAGATATGACTAGAAGACTTTATACAGTTGAGCTTGTTTGAAATTCTTTAGATCTGAACTTTTCTTATTCCTAATTTACATTGGCTAAGAGTCTTCAAAAAAACTAAAATAAAAAATTTTCAAATTCAATCTCTTTTCAAGTAAAATTTTTAGAAAAAGGGAATGTTCTTAATAATTATTTATTTATGAAAATTTCATTTCAATCCAGAATTCAAATTCTAATGTAATTTATGAAAAATTAATTAAAAAATATCTTGATTATATAATATTGTGGTAACGTTGCATGTTGTTATGATAGTGAATTTCGTGATGATGACAGTGAATTTCGTTGTGATCGCGGTGGTGATGGTGATGGTCGTGATGGTGATGGTGTCGTTGGTGGAATTTCAAAATCCGGTGTCTCTTTTGGTGTCGTTGACGGTGGGATTTCAAAATCTGGCGTAGATTTTACTCTCCTTAACCAATATAAAAACCCGATTAACAATCCAAATAATGTGCATCCAACAATTACTCCAATAATAGCTTTGTCTCTTTTACTATTATTATTAGTAATATTAGTATTATTATTATTATTATTTTCATTGGGAAAAGAAGATTCACTTGGTGGTGATGTAGGTTTTGCCACTGTTGAAGAACTCGATGGCTCTGCAGTTGATTTGGATGTTGAGAGTGGTTTAGCACTCGGAAACGTCATAGTCGCAGATTGGGACGCAGCTAGATTACAAGATCCTGCAACAACTTGCTGTTAATTTCCAAAGAATATATAATTAGTAACAATAGTTAGTATCAATTTGTTATTTTATTTTTAAATTAAAAAAATTTAGATAAGTACCGAATAAGCTTCAGCTTCGGCTACAGTATTAGGATCATCAGTACATTGTCTGTAACATTCGGAAATGGCTACGATGTTAGAAATGATTGAAATGAATTTATATTTCTTATTTACTTAAGTTTTTCTCAGAATCAATATAACATAAGATAATATTCATGAAATTTTCATACCTTTAACTGCATCGCATAAACAAATATAATCAGTTGAAGTACACAAAGCTGAATTGGAACTTCCACGCTGCTTGCATAAACTATAGACAGCTGAACTTGTACAATTCGCTCGAACGATAGGCACGAAGGTTAGGAGAGCTGCCAAAAAGAAAACATATAAACGAATATAACTACTAGAGTTCATCAGTATGTTTTTTATTTTTTTTTTTGTTTCCTTTGGATATTGTCTATTTTTTTTAATACTTTGTTTTTTAGTTATTTCCTTTGAGAACTCTAAGGAAGAATTCGATATTAAATTATAAATTTTTACGGATATTTTATCTTTTGATGAGAACATATATTTATGAAATGCATTGATATGCATTACACTAACCATAAATAATAATTATTCAAATGGTAGAATATAACAACAATACAGCAGGTTAAAGTACACAACCTATGTTGAATGATTGAAAACATTGAATTAGATAATGGATTTTATATTACAAAAAAATTCAGGTATATTTGGGGTTCCTGGGTCAAATATTTTTTTGAATCCTATATTGCTATTGTTACCCTTGACTTTACCTTTATTTTTTATTATTATTTATTTATATATTTTATATCGTATATTTATCATTTTATTATTTATTTCTTGTTATTACTTAAATTAGTAGATTTCTAAATTCTTGTTAATCTGTAACACTAGAATACAAATTAGAGTACTAATCAAAGTACAGTTAATATTTCAGTTAATTTACAAGTTAAATTAATAGTTAAGGTACTAGATAGTTTTCAGTCAGATTACAAGTTGACTTTACAGTTAAATCTATAATGTATATAAAGGCTGAGAATTTCTTCAACTCAGTCTTCAGTTCAGAGAAGTTAGTCAGTCAATTAGTTCAGTTAGTTCAGTCAATTCAGATAGTTAGTCAGTTAGTTAGGATTTATTAAGTAATAAAATTAATATTACAAAATCCTTTGAGTTCCTTGTTTATTGTATTCTTTGATAATTGATAAACTGTTTGTCCCTATTAACAAGTCTTCATGCCACTGTTAATAGTAAATATTCCTCTTTCATAATTGACCATACATAATTCCTTCTATGCATAAACCCTTTTATTGTGATTGTTTTATTGTTTAGATTAGTATTTTTATATTTTTATTTAGTTTTGTTTGTTAGTTTTAGTATTATTTTATCTCATTGTCTTTGTAAATTGTAGAAGGTTTACATGGATAACACTATCTTTTTGATTGATAGATCATAAGGATCCATATCGATTGTCTTCTAACTAGAACCTATTCTTAAACCTTCATTTTATATTAAACAGGATAAGGTATAATCTATTGCATTTAATTCAACTAATCAATTGATTACATTGAGTTCATAGTATATTATTCATCAATCCTTTGTTGAATAATAACATGCCAAAATGAATGTTTGAGTCCATTCTATTACCTAACAATTCTTCACATTGTATTGTTTCCAGTGACATCATTCTCATTATTACAATCATCATCATCACAATCACACTCATCAATCATCAAGAAAAATTTTTCTTCAAAAAAGAATTTAGTTGATTATAAATGTGGTATAATTGATTCATCAGAATAAAGATTGTGAAAAACTATTTTGAAACATATAAATTATAATAGAAATAATAGAAATAATAGAAGTGAATAAAAAATTTTAATATTTTCAAAAATATAAATGAATAGAATAACATGAATTATTATTATTCAATCAAGTTAATTAATTACATTTTTATAGTTTTAATATTCCATAAAATATAAAATATTCTTTATTAATAAGAACTAGAAGTTCAGATCTTCCTTTTGTTGATAACTCAGAAGTTGAAGTGTTTATTACGAATTTATTTGAATTGTTATTTGATATCTTTAAAAAAAAGGTACAAACGATGCAGCCAATTATGATCAAAATTATATTGAAATAAATATACTATAATAAATTAAAATATATTTTTTTCATTGTTCTAATACTTCATAATAGAAAATCCATCTGTTACGTTTTTCATAATAATTGGGGAATAATCACAGTAACTATCATTATTATTATTACTAACAAACAAAAACCAAATTTAAAATCTGACCATTCTTATTTGATAATCTTTACTCTGCTAAGAATCGAATTTTTAATATTACCATTTTTTTAATAAGAAAATAAAACTATTCATCATCATGAGATTATTCCATGTTATAGGATTATAACCTCCTATAATTTCATCATTTTTACCACAACAACTGTACGATCGTCACCATGGCGGATATTATAAAATGTTTGTGGGCAAACCAATCTTTAGTTTTATGCAAAATTAATAAAATTAATTCGAATTTATAGGGAATATTTGTTAGTGAATAAGTAGATCAATCATGTTTGAGTCATTTGTATAAGGAAGAGAGGCAATTCTATGTAAGATATTGATCGTTTAGAAGCTACTAAATGTTTTCAATGTGCGAAATTTCCTTGGTCTATTCAAGGTCAGTCGAAAGAGTATGATTCTATGAAATTCTTACTTGATAAACTTGATAACATAATCTCAAATTTTAATTTGCAAATCATCTCGTCTATGAAGAGATACACGTGAAGATTCTTGAAGAGAATTAAAATCCGAGCTATCAAAAATGTGATTTGGATACTTGACTACAATAACATTACGAAATTTTTCTAAATTTTTTAAAAAAATAGTATGATAGACGAAAGAAAAATGCATTTCAACTAATTCAACTAAGAAGTTTTATCTTCAATAAGAATGGTTTCTAATTTGTTGGAGAAGTGGACAAAGTTCATATCCATTAACATTAAGTCAAAAATAAATTTAGTTTCAACATTTTCTAAATTAACAATTCCACCATAAATATAACTACATAAAATAAATGATAACTTAATATTAAATAAATTTATATAATGACAATATTATAATTTTTTAAGTTTTCAATATAAGTAATAATATATTTATTATTGATAATAAAATTTGAGCAGAATGCTTTGTTTTAATATTTTTCTCATTTGATTGAATATTTCCTAATTCCTTACGATCGATATTAGAATGTGTCGTATATGATTTTTCCTTATTTTCAACTTTAATAATTACATTGTAATCATCTTTATCATCAAGAAAATAAGGTTATGTAACAACTCATCAAAACTTTTATCTGTTTGAATTTTTTTTTAAAAAAAAATCTTTAATAAATTTCGGCCGTTTTTATTTAGTCTAAGTAAAGTCCAAATTTTCACTAGATACTACGAAAATTGCTTCTAATTAAAGTTGTACACATTATTTTGGCTAAAATTTTATATAAGATAGTTAATATTTATCTTTAGAATCCATCGAGTCTGGTATGGATAACGATTAAATATTTAATTTATTATCTTTTCTCCATTCAATTTTGACAAAATATATATCATATGATAGCCTAGTTTAATAAAAATCATTCATTATCAAAATTTTAATTTTAGTAAAAATTTTCACTCGCTCGGCAGGGAGTGTATGTTCTTTAATTTAGATTATTGAAAATATTTACAATATATATATTTTATGCAATTTTATTTACAGTATATTTCAGGTTAAGAATATAATGATTGTGAATGATTGACGTCAACGCATCGCATCCCGTCTTTTTGGAATTACAAAAAATCCTTCCATCGTTATGGAATTATATGATTAACAAAAATTTTGGGAATTTAAGGTGGAAATAAATAGAATTAATATATAATATATCGATTGTTTTCATAATAACTTAGTCCATCGTGATCTACATAGTGGAAATATTTTGACAAGAAATATTACAAATTCATATGATGCATTAATTACAGACTCAGGTTAGCTGATGATTTAATATTAAAATCAGATAACAAAAGTAATAATATTTATGGATCAGTTCCATATATTCTACCCGAAGTTTTTACAAGAAAATGAATTCACAAAAAAAGGTGGAATGGTGATCCTTCTAAACGACCAACTTCCAATGAATTAATGTCAAATTACATAATAATAGATATAAATTATATGGAAAAATCAGGAAATTTCAAAAGCAAGAATTATATTCATCAGCTATGCTTCGTTCACAATCTTGCTATATTTGTCAAAGTATTCATACTCTTCATGGAATAGCATAATTCATTAGAAGATATAAAATCTGGAAAATCTTATCCTGATTTTAATTATATCAATTTAATAATAAATAAACAATTACAAAACTTAGTTTATAGATCCTAATTTATTAAAATCTAAGGAACATCTACCTCGGGTGTTATATCTTATGATATTGATTCTAAAGAATTTCGAATAATAAATTCAAAATCGTGCAAAAGATTAGATTGCGATTCCCGAAAATCCAGAGAATGCATTAATTTGTATAAAGATTAAAGAAAATTAAAAAAGACCAAAGACAATTAGATTTTCATATATTATTTTTATAATATATTAAAGAAGTTAAAAAAAAAAAAAAATTAAACCAAAATTTGAAAAAAATAATTCTAACATTATATTTTATTATTTTATTATTTTTTTCTGATTTTATGAGTTTTATTGATAACTCTCAGCTATTTTTACATATAATTTTTAATAAGACTCGACTTTAAATATTACGATTTCAAGATTCACGTCAGGCATCTTGCTACAAAGGCGAAATTATGTGAATAGCCAACACCAACATATTCATATAATTATATCCTATTTTAGCTGATCATTTAATTACATTTCTTCAAATGATTATTTCAAATTATAAAATTTAGTTGGATTACTTCAAGTAGTAGTCGATCTATGATTATATTATCAATAAATGTATTAATTAGATTATATTATTTAAATTAATTATTTGAAAAGTTTTTACATCCATAAATAAATATTTACAAATAGAATTGAAATTGAAAAAAAAATTCATATATTCATTTAATTATTTTTTTATATCCTCATTTATTTTATCTATACTAATTTTAATCCCATAGAAAAATTATTTTACATTAACAAAAGGTTCATAGTATTTAATTTAAATAAAAAAAGAATTTTTAAGAACACTTATTAAAAATAATCTTTATATTTACTCAAAATATTATGTTACTTTCCTGTGTTTCCTCCTATAGAATTTATATTTCATGTCTTGGTAAATGTTTTATTCCTGCTCTCATTCATTCTATTTAAACGAATGCACACTTTTTTCCTTTTTTTCAACCAAAAAGTCTTTAAATTTGTTATAACGATCCTTAAATATGCGTGACCATAAATTTCGTAAATAATACTAAATCTTGATTACGAGTTGTACATACATTTTTATAGATGTTATTTGGCCTTTATCCTATACCCCGGTATAGACTTTTATCTATTCCCTCCGAATTTGATTGGCTCATAATTTAACAGGTGATCAAAGTGATATTCGAAAAGTAGTTACACAATAAAGATATATTTATCATGGCTCACATACTTCTAGACTTGAGTTGAAGGTACTACAAAATAAAGAAATGAAGACACATTATTTAGTTATAAATTAAATTTTCTCTTCTAATTTTAGAAAGATTATGTCCTCTCGATTTCTATTTTTAGAAAATATAAATTTAGTTTATTAAATTAAATTTTTATAATGTGAATGGATATATTTATATAAATACAAAGAAACCTTGTATAAAGGAAAATAAAGACGATTACCGAGAATAACTTTCATGCGAATCGGCATTTTTTAAGCTGATAAAAAATATACAATTTAAATAAATTAAAATATTCAACTTTTTGATAATATTCAATTGTTAATTTATTCGTGCAACGATGGAAAAAGATTTTATTGAATGATTTCTTCTTTTTTAAGATAGCTTTCGGTATAAAAATAGTAATTATTGTTAGCTGATAATTTTAAATAATTTATTATTTTTATGATACCTATTTATACTTTCTATAATTAATAATTGCTAACAATTGTAAAGTTAGATTGACTTTATTTGGTTACTCTTAATTATAAAAAATTCCCAAACTCTCTCAATAAATTTTATTAATTTAGTTCATTTCTCTTTTTCACCAACGTTGTCTCTGAACATTAAATTTTTTTATTTAAACAAACATAATTCAATTTATCTAAATAAAAAAAAAATTTACCATTTTGTCAGATCTCTGAGTGTAATTCAAACAAATTAAAAAAAAAACAAACAATTCAAAATAATTTAACACAAAATACGGATCGACCTTAACTTAAATATAAATGGAAACTACTTTAGGAGAAATTTAATTAACAGGCATAATTAATTCAAATCCCACTGCATGACATGATTCGATTGGTTTTTTTTTAATTATACATAGAAAACATTATAATTTATAAAAGAGATATATTTCCCCAAATTCTCGAATTCGATTCAATTTAAATAAATTTAATAACACAATTCAATTCAAATTAAATACATAATTTTTTTTTAAGAAAAAATAAAAAAAATTCGAAAAAAATGAATTTCTTCAAAATTCAATACCACCTTCACTTATTCTTCGTGCTTTCTTTATTCATTTTATGTTTTGTACCAAATAGTCATCAAAGCAAAGTAAAATTTGGAGCAGTAGCCGTACTTATGAACAATAAACCCGACCAACCCCAAATTAATGGAATTGTTAATTTCACTCAATTAAATTTACATAAGACGCGTATTGATATTTATATTGAAGGATTGACACCAGGAAAACATGGAATTCATATCCAGTAATTATTAATTTTATTAATAATAATTATTAATTATTATTATCATTAGTTAATTATCTGTTATTAATTATTTGTTAATTATTTGTTAATTAATTATCTGTTATAGTACATTCGGTGATTTAACAAATAGATGTGAATCAGCGGGAGGACATTATAATCCATTTAATTTAACTCACGGAGCTCCTTATGACATAATTCGACATATAGGTGATTTGGGTAATGTTAAAGCTTCACAAAATGGAACTGTACAGACAACAATATATGATAAATTCGTTAAATTAACTGGTCCTTTTTCAGTCATTGGGTAAGTTATAAAGATGCTTATAATAGTTTATTAGAGTATAATATTTAATATGTTTTATAATATCTCTTCTCTTAGACGAACTATAGTTATTCATGCAGGTCAAGATGATCTTGGAAGAGGTAATAATGCAACTTCACTTACAAATGGAAATTCCGGAGCTCGTGTGGCATGTGGCGTTATTGGTTGGCGTAATATAACTCAAGCTTAGAGAATTTTCATAAAATAATATAAATAATAATAATAATTGATAGAAATATTATTCGAACAAACAAATATGTTATATAATAAAACATTTGTTCACGATTAATAAAAAATATCTTTTTTAATCCATAAGTTATAGCATTGCATTAATATTCAATAATAAATATAAAAATTTTTGTTCAATAATTAATAAATTTAATTTAATCCCATAAATCAGCAAACAATACAGATGATAGCAAATGGTAATGATAATAATAAATAATAATATAATAATAGATAATAATAATTATTATTAATTATCTATCTAACATTACAATTATTTATTATTTATTATTATTGTTATTATTTATTATTTATTATTATTATTTATTATTATTATTTTATCAAAAACAATAACTTAATTTTAACATTATCCACAATAAACTTCCAGATGCTAAAGGTAAAACAAAATTATCATCTAATCCCCAAATATCAATTAATTCACTTATTCCTCCAATTATTCCTGTTAATAACGATAATAAAGGTAATGAAAATATACTTTTCTCCGGTATCCAACTTCTTTCTTCATTTATCATATTTGTTTCTAAAATTTTATTATTTGATTGAATATTTAATTGAATATTATTTAAATTATTTGATTCCAAGTTATTTGATTCCATAATAATAATTGATGATTGATTTTGATGATGATGATAATTACTTGTTTTTTTACCCCAAAATAATAATGCTGCCAGAAATCCAATCATAATTGCTCCAATTGTACCTGCTAATGATTTCCCATTTTTAAATTTATATGTATGATGACCAAATTTTCTACCAAAGAATGAAGCTGCCGTGTCACACCACGATAAAATTATAATTGACATGATAGCAATATCCTATTATTAATTTATTAATTAATTAATTAATTTAAAATTAATATTTTATTTATAATTTAATTTTGATTTTATAATAATAATATTTTTTTTTAATATTTTAGAAACATTACATTTTTAAATTAATTAAATTAATTATTTGAAATATTTTTTAAAAAAAAAATATATTCACCTTAGGAAATATTGTCAATACACTGATACATCCAGCCAAATAATATATAACTCCATTGATCTTATTTTTCTCGCTTTCACGCATTAAAAATCCAACTACTTTAATGTATAGATCATTAATTGCTTGATTTTTAAATCTGAAAATTTCAAATAATATAACTATCACAAAAGAAACGAATAAAACGTTTCGAACTATGATTGGATCTGCAATTGGATATAAATATAATGTGATAAATCCTATTTTTATTATTATTATTAATTAATGAATAGTTAATAAATAATATAAATATAAATAGTTAAATATAATTAATTAATAAAGTTAATTAATGATGAATAATTAATAGTAATATAATATAATTAATTAATTAACAATTAATGAACAATCAATAAACAATCAATAAAAAAAATTAATTATTATAATTTATTATAATTTTATAATTGATAAATAATAATTTATAAAAATCAAATTATATAAATTATATAAATTATAATTATATTATTATTTTACCTATACTTGAATGTAAAACCTTCCTTGATATTTCATTTTTTGCATCATTTATTTTCTTGTTCTTTGGTTTAAGTTTCTTCCAATCATTTAATTTATGTTTGTTACTTCGGTTTTTTTTGTATAATATTACGATGTAAAGCCATCTTTTTTCACCACCACTTTCTTCGATTTCTTATCAAATTATTTTTAAAGGTTATTGATTATATTTTATTGTCTTTTTTTTTTTTTTTGTTTTTTATTTTTTGTTTTTTATTTTTTGTTTTTTATTTTTTGTATAAAATTTATAAAATGCATGTATAAAGATAAATCTGAATTTTATTTGTTTTATTTTATTTATTTTTTTTACATTTGTTTTTTGTACTAGAATGTTCCATTAAAAATTTTGTTACACAAGTTATCCAAAACTATCTTCATTCTTTGATTGGGTATTTTAGATCTTCAAATAAATGACATTTTATATTATTTTTAACCGTGTATGTCATATGCAAAATGGCATTTATATATATCTGATATCACACAGACATTAAACTGTTAAAGTTATTCTTTGATCACAAAAGAACCAAAAGAACCTAAAAAAAGTTACAAAAAAAAATATAGTTATAAGTTATCCACTAATCTATGACAGAATAAATTTCAAATTAATTGATTTGACAATGGATAAATTTAAAAACCTAACTACCGTTATTCTTAACACATGACTTAGATATAACAAAAAAGGGGAAAAAAAAATTAGAAAAACTATAATTGAGATGAACCAGTATTTATCAAGTTTATTATAATCTTTATCTGGACAATATGACTTGAGAATGGATGTTAATCCAGATGTGAATTTTGTCACAAAATTTTATTATTATCCAGATTGAATTTTGGATTGCATACATTTCTGCACTAGTTTTAGTTTCTTTGACTACAACTAGATATTTGATTATCTTTAAAATTTTAAAGATTATTTATCTTTTTTATCTTTGATGATGTATGTGCATCAATTATTTTTTTTTGCAAACTCCGTGTTTCGCATTTTTTTATAAAGTGTAAAGAAACAATGTATTCAAAGTATTTATGTTTTTGCATATTTACATGATAATATATGATAATATACATTGATAATAATATTATGAAATATATAAAATATATAAAATATATATGATAATATATGAAAATATATTTATAATTTCGAGAATCTTGCAAACCAAATCACGTTAATTTTTTTAGCTGCTTTACTAATATTATTTCATTATTAAAAAAAAGAAATGAACTAACGAATGCCGCGACCTACACAAAAGAGCACGTAGTTTAATTGTTTTAATCATAAAAAAAAATAAAACTTTTTGGATATCTTTATATAAATGACCGATTGCATTTAAATTACGCTATGATAAGACACAAAACCAGTTTTTTTTTTTTTTGACATAACGTTTTCCCTGTACTGTCTGTTATGTTATATGTTATTATTTTTCCACATATTTCACGGTTTATAAACAAATATGCTAATTAATATTTCTAATGAGGAATAAGATTTAGTTTGTGTTCTTTAATGATCTTCTCTTTCTCAAAAAACAACAATGTAATCGTATTCTTTCATTCATTTTTCTAATCGCTTTCACATGTTTTTTAAAAAACCATTAGTTACAAACGATTGTAATTACTTTTTATGGTTTTTTTTTTTTTTATAAAAAAAGTATTATTTACGTCATCAAACACATATTATCTTTTATCTTTTTTATTTAAAAAAATACAGAAAATTTTATTTAGGCATCTATTAGATCATCCCCTACAGATTAATGCATTACACACGCACATACATTGTGAAATATTTTACCCCCAAGAAATATTTCACAGAAATCACTTTTAAGTTTATTCTATTTACATAGTACTTATTACCAAATTCGTTAAAAGTTTTCTCATTCTTTTTTTCTAAGTTTAGTTAAGATTGTCCCAGGTAACCCTTGGTTTCTTTTTTTTTGTTTAAAAGATAATGTCTTTTAAAATTTGATATAATATTAATAGTGGTCAATGCTTAGCCCAAGTTACACGTTATCAACGCCCTTACTACAACACTAAAAATATTCTAGCATACTTAACGGATGATATTATTTATGTCAACAATAATAGTAGTTAACTATTATCAGCTAATTCATTTGCTTTCACGTATTAACAGAAAAAATTTCTTGGAATAGAATAAATGAAAATGAATTTCCATTTTATTTTATTTTTTCCCATATAATTTGATTTCTTTTTTTCAATTCTATTTGGAAAATCTCACTATCAAGGGGAAAAATTAAAGAAATTAAAGATTAAATTAAAAAAAAAAAAATTAATTGGTAATCAATATTATATAATGTGTATATATTAAATAATATATTTTTAATATAATTTATATATTATGTATACTTTTTTTAAAATAAGCTTTAAATAAGTATTTTAAGTTTAAAGTTTATTTGTGTTCAAATTTCTTAATAAGTATTAAGATAATCGATAAGTAAGTAAATGATGAAATATGTAAGAGAAAGAATCTTGGAACTTTTCCAAGCGTGGTTAGAGTTTTTCAGTCATGAGACCCATTTTATGTTTGTCATATCATAAACAACAAAAATTTAGATAGATGTGACACACACTTATATAACCTTTCTTCAGAGAGATATATTGGAGATTCTATAGAGAGAATTCTTCTATTATTGTTATTGTTATATTTTCATTAGTGAATTTTTTGTTGTCGTGTTCTATTGACTTACATTCATTATACATTCATTATACATATTATAACATTATTATTATTTATAATTACTATTCTTATTATTATGTATGTTGTTCTCCCGCCCATTTCATTCTCCCTACGATTTAAGTAACGAATAATCGGATGTTCTAAATTGAACAAAAAGTTACGCACAAGTTGGAAAGAAATGGTTTTACTTTTGTATTTCAAAAAGGATTGACAAAGTGATATAATTCTTTGCCTCCCAAATTCGGGTTACGTTACTCCGCTAAAAAGATACTTACCGTCAAATTAATGTTTATATATCATACATAAAATACATAAAATACATAAAATACATAAATTATTTATATTATTTATATTTATTGTTTATATAAAACAATAAAACATATAAAACTTTATATTCAAATTAAATTATATTAATTACTTTAAATCATATTATTATATATATATTATATATTTTTAAAATAAATTCGCCAAAAAATTCCACTACTTCAATTTTTCTTTTTTTTTTTTGAAATCCATTAAATTTCATAAATTTTACTTATTGGTTTATCTGATTTTTATTTCTTACTTATTTATTTAGACATCAAACATAAACAAACAAATTTGTACAATTCTATTAGTATAAATAACATTTGATAAGATGTCAGATACTCATTACCATAATCAAAACGTTACTTATGAAGAAATTGACAGTTTAGCAAATCAATCTCTCTCTTCTAATTCTTCTTCTTCTTCATCTTCATCTCTTGAAATTAAAAACTCTGTAAATTCCGAACAACTCCTTCAAACAAATCATCATCAAATGTCTCAAACTTCTCAAATATCTCAAATGTCTGAGGAAGCAAAACAACAAGCTAGAGAAAAACGTTCAAAACGTAATAGTTTCCGTCGTATGTTTAGTTCAAATGATAAAGAAGAAAAAAATAAGGAACCTAAAGAATATAAAGAAAAAAATGAAAGTAGTGGATTATCACGTACTTTATCAGGTATGTTTAAATCTGATAAATCTGATAAACATGAGCGTGATAACCACCACAACAACGGCGAAAACAACCAAAACCGTCGCCGCAATGAAAATATCGAAAGTCCAACAAAACGTAAAAATCGACGTAGCTTTATTTTCTTTTCTGATGACGAAAGAGAATCCGAAAAAAAACAATTAACAATAAACACGAGAGATATTAGTTCTTCCATTTCGGATGTTGAAAACAATTCAAAACAATCCAAAATTAAACAAAAGAATCGTCTCAGCGCAAACATTGAGAAACTTTTGGGATTGGATGATGTTTCGGATGTTGAAAACAGTCCAAAACAATCCAAAATTAAACAAAAGAATCGTCTCAGCGTAAACATTGAGAAACTTTTGGGAATAGATGATGATTCTAATAGACATAGGAGTAATAATGAGTCAGATTTATTCCTTCCAGAAAATGAAACTCCAATTAGAAGTCATAGTCGACATAATTCTGGACGTAATTCACCAAATACCGAAACTTTTCCTAGCATTTCTTCAACTAATGCAAATTCAACATCCAATAATATTTCAACTGATAATAATATTAATAATATTCCAACTAATCTTCCAATTATTATAACAACTGAGTTGGTAGAAGAAGAAAATGATACTCCAGATTCATTAATTTCTGATTATAAATATGATTCTTCTACTGCTCCAACTTCTCCTGAAAGTTATCTTGACGAAGAAAAAGAATCCCAAAATCAAAATCCTGTACCTTCCAATATCTCATCCTCCTCCACTGATAGTTTCGATAAAGTAGACACGGGAGATAAATCTTATATCGAGGTCACAACTACTGATTATGACCATTATCAAGAAAATAATTCTCAAGAAATTCCTCAAGATAATAATTCCCAAGATAATTCTCAAGATATTCCTCAAAATAGCTTCCAAGATATTTCTCAAGATAGCTTCCAAGATAATTCTCAAGACATTCCTCAAGAAATTTCTCAAGAAATTTCTCAAGATAATGGTTTCCAAGAAATTTCTAAAGATAATAACTTCCAAGATATTTCTCAAGATTATTCTCAAGATAATAAATCCCAACATATTTCTAAAGAAATTTCTTATGATAATTTCCAAGATATTTCTCAAGAAATTTCTCAAAATAATTCCCGAGATATTTCTCATAATTATTCTCTAGATAATTCCCAAATTATTGTTGAGAATACTCACAATGAAGGAAATGACGACGAAGATTCAGATAAAAAAATTCAAGAAATTCAAAATAATCATTCTATTCCATCTCATTATCAAGAAAAATATGAAGATCCTTCTTCTCCGCTCTCTCCTATATCTCCAAAATATACTTATTCCTCTAAGACTCAAAAAAAGCCTAAATTCGCTTTCGCTAATACGGATTCGGATTCAGATTATGTCAACGAAAATTATGAAGAAAATTCGGATATAATATTTGTTGATAGATTCCATACGGTGGAAAAAGTTGTGGAGGTGGAGAAACAACAACTTCCAAAAATTATTGAAAAAAAGATTATAATTACTCAAGAAAGTCCAGAAACTCTTCAAAAGGTATTAAATAAATTAATGAAAATTTTTTTCTTTACTTAATAAATTTAAATTTGTATATAACAGTATTAATGATAAAAAAAAATGATCCATTCAAAATTATAGCTTGAAGAACTTCAAACCGACAATGATAGTCTTATTTCAGTCAAGAGGGAATTAGAATCTAAAATTCTAGAGCAATCCCAACAAATAGAGAAACTTGCGTCATTAGAAACGGTCATGATTCGTCAAATGCAATTAACCGAAAAAATGGAAGAAACCATGAGAAGATTGGAAACTAGAGTTAATGATAAAGAAGATTTGAAGGAAGTTACCGTACGTCAATTAGAATCTAAAATAGGTGATCAATGTAAAGAAATTAATGGATTAAGAATAATGATGGAGCAGTTGTGCGTAAGCTTTTATAACTTTCTTGTACATATTTTTTTTTTTTTATGAAAAAATTTATAAATTTATAAATTATTTCAAATTATTCTAAAATTTTCTTGTAAATTTTATGTAGTCAAAAGACACCGGAATTGCGTTTCAACGAAAATCAGGTATTTATATTATATTATTATTATTTGTAATGATAAATAATTAAAATAATATAAAAAAAAATAAATAAATAAATAAATAAATAAATAAATAAATAATAATAATAATAATAATTAATTAATTAATTAAATTATCTTATTCATTTTTTAAAGATCATCACGACGAGATCATTATCATCACTTACAGAAGAAATCAATTCAAACAATGCATTAATTCCATCTCGAATATCAACAATGGAAAGAGTAGTGATTACAACGACACCAAAACAAAATTCTCAAGAATCTTTGAAGAACACCCTTGTAAATACATTGGTGGTTAAGCCATTGATTAACACTATTACAATTTCCGCCTCCCTTGCTGGATCAGTTTTCTACGCTGTTTACATCAAACCTGTTGTTATTATCACTGATGCCATAAGATATGGTGGAAGTAAATGTTTATCGTAATTAGTAGTAGTAAAGAAACTTACATCTATATTTAGTATAACAACAAATTAAAAAAAAAATGGTACGATGTCATGATATATCATTATATCATTAAATATCGAATCAAAAATGCTATACTATACCAAAGAAGGAATAACTACTTTCTTATCATGACCGGAAAATTCTCCGGAAATAACATTACTTCCACTGACATCAGGCATTACAAAAAGTTCGTTAAACTCCAACAAAAACAAAAAAAAAATGAAACAAACGACGACGTCCGTGAGACATCTGTGACTCCCTTTGATATATATAAACTTTTCTTTGTACATAATTTCAAACTTTTATTTATTTATTATTTATTATTTATTTATTGATTGATTGATTTCTGTGATAGGAAGTAAATTTCATTTTTCAATATTTATGACTTGGATTGTATTTATTGTATTTTGTAGTCACTCTTGGTAAATAATTCGGACGATGGATATAGTAATAAAATTATAAAAAAAAAAAAAAAAAAAAATTGAATTTTTCGACATTTAAATGTGACATGTTAAAAGATGCCGCCTTCAGAGTACGTCATATGTTTTTATATGACGACTAGTTCGTTATGTCTTATATGGATTAATACATATCCAATATTCTTAACGATCTAGAAATTATTCATAAACGTAAAGAATTGAACACAAATACAGAACCTAAAAAGTATAAAACTCATTACACGTGAGCCAAGTATTTTGTTTCATGATTAACCACATTCATAAATAACAAATTTAACACATAACAATAACAATACATTAATAAATGCATTTAAAAGTCAAATTAGTAAGTAGATTCATGCAAATTAATCAAATTAATACATGAGCTAAACTTTTATTCGTCCAATTTATTCAAATTATTATATAATGTAATTGCAAATAACTATAAACAGAAATGCATTTGTATTAACCAAATATGAAAGAGAAATTCCCAATTTAGTCAAACTAATTAATTACGAACGAACAAATATCTTTTTTTTTTTTTTTTTATTAGTCTTTACTTTCATTTTACGCTTTCATCATAGTAACTATCTCATCTCACTCCTTTTTCATAACTCCTCCTCTCATCATCATCATTCACACTTTCATTTTAATTTAAAACTTTTCATTTTTCCCTCAGTTCTTTTTTGGTAATTATAAATAACATTTATTTTATATTTATCGGTCTTTTTAGGATATTACATACATTAACGACTTTTTTTTTTTTTTTTTTAATGTTAATGGTCATATCATAGCTTTTTTGTTTCTTCCATAATCTCCGCAGAACTTCTAGCTGGTCTAAACGTAAGTTATTGGAGGGTTACTACTTACAAGATACATTTTTAATATTTATAATATTTATTATTTAATAAAATAATTTAATTTTTGTTCTTAGGTTTGAAGTTTTAGATAAAATTACTTTTTTATATGTTTTGATATTTTAATAATATACCGTAAAAGTTATCCCTTATTTCAAGAGAGCGAATCTAAGAATTTCTTATCCCTAAATAAAAATAATTATTATCAATAACTTTAATTCGCAACTCACCCTTACCACACCATCACGACGAGAAATCCTTCTACATTAATATCTAAAAAAGACAATTTCACATAACCCTTTCGTTTTAAAAAAATGTGCTTCTCAACTGCCAAATGGCAAAGGGAAGAAGTTCAAGACCATAAATTTGATTTCGTAGACGTAAATGAATTTCATGACACGGGAATATTACGTAGACTAAAATATTCAGTTCTTTTTATGGTTGTTATAAAATCGATACTTGTATATGTAGCCGATATGTGGACCGCTGGGATTTTAATTATTTTTGACCGATGGAATACAGCAGTACAGCCAAAAATTCCTTTTGCTGTTTCAAAATGGATTTTTGTTGGTTGTATTATCGTATCATTTTTATTGCTAGCTTGGGATATTAAGAAAGCTAGACATATAATTAAGACTAGAGATATCTCTTATGCATTTACAAGTACAATTGCGTATAGATTTTATACTTTAAGAAGTTATAAACATTATAATTTCTTTTGTCAAATCAACAATTCAAAGAAGAAAGCAGATGAAATTGCTTTCTTTGTGTTCTTTACATTTAAAGGTAAATTATTTTATAATATTATATTTTTATTTATTTATTATTTTATTTATTATTCTATTATTATTATTATTCTATTATTATTTATTATTTTATTATTTATTATTTATTTATATATGTTCATACTAATAATACATACATTATAAATAATCTAATTTATTAATTTTATTTTTTAAGGATGGAAACGTCTTGTCTTTGCTGAAGCACCTCGTCAAGTTATAAATGCAATCACATTAGTTTCTATTATTCAATCTAATAAAAAAAAGCAATACTTAGATATTAATTCTTATGGTGAGAATATGGTACAACAACTTGCCATGGGTACTATGGTTTTCACGCTGGTAATCTTCATTGCGTCATTTACTATGCTTGTGATCGCTTTCTTTTTATATATTCCATTATTGTGTCATATCAGAGGAAATTTAAAAGAATATTGTTGTCATAAGATTGATAAAAGGTATTATTTATTTTATTTATTGTTATTTTATTTATTATTTTATTTATTATTTTATTTTATTTATTTATTATTTCAATTGTTATTATTTATTAGAATTGGTGAACTTCTTAAAAAGAAAACTGAACAACGTGTTAAACAACGAAAACAAGAAGCAGACGCAGAGGCTAGAGGTGACTTTAGTCATCTTAAAAATAAAAGAGGAATTGACAATGAAACTAGACCTCTTCGTCAACCAACATTACCAACGTTTGAATTTTCTGATGAGAAAAAACAATCATTTTCACCTTATGGTCAAATGCCACCACTACCACCACCTAATTTTAATAACCAGGTAGAACCTGTAATGGGTATACCACCATATGGTCCAAGATCTGGTGCTCCAAGAGTTGGAACTCCTTCAATAAGAAATGGAAATCCTGGATATGGACCACCACCTCCATTTATGGGTCGTCGTAATAGTAATTCTTCTATTAGTTCTGATATGACTGGATTTTCAGCTTATTCATCAACAACACATCAATTAACTGGACCAGGTTATCCTGTACCTAATAGAATTCATACTCCTAATCATAGAATTACAAATGTTCCAAATATTCCAAATATTCCAAATATTCCAAGTATTCCAAATATTCCTCCTAAACGTAGTTTTGAAGGTTTATCTGTGAGACAATCAATTATGATGACCAATGAAACGATACAAAATAGGAATTCACAACGATTTTCTATATTTAGTGATGAATACTATGGAGGAGCATTTGATGATGCTTATAATTCAAATGATCAATCATCGCGTATACGTTCACATTCACCGACGCCTTCAATATCTTCCACAACATCAGGTCGTGCTAGACTACCACAATCACGCGCTGTGGTACATCCAGCGGTGAATTCGAGATATCAAGAACAAAGAGGTCCTAGATATAATAATTATGCAGAACAAGGTGGTGGTCAATCTAGAACTGATGGATTATATTAGAAAAATTTAGATAATAATTAATAATACATATAATATATTTATTGCAAACATGTAAATTTAAAAGTTTCATAATTTAAATTTGGTTTTTTTAAATTTTTGTTTTTTTTTTAAAAAATTTTTAGGTTTAATTTTTTAGTTTTTAAATTTTTAGTTTTAAATTATTAATTTGTTGCTTATAAAGGTTATATATATATGTGTGTGCGTACGCATTAGAAGTAAAGAACCAAAGACATTATTCATTTACTAACATCAACAGTTATTAATTGGCATTTTAATAAAAAAATTCATACCAAATTTTGCATCAAGAATTTTTTGTAATATCAGTGTTATTATTATTTTATCTTATTTGATTTTTTTTACACACACATATTACATATGTTCTACTAATAGAAAATTGCAGATCGAGAAATTCAGAATGTTGTGGTTTAAATTATTCATTCTGAAGCATCTTTCATTAAGAAAACCTGTTATCTATAATATTACTTTCAAATTTTAATCTTAGTAATATTGATTGGAATGAATTGTTTAAATTAAATTCATGTTTTTAAAACTTGGACGTTCAGATGGAGTTTTTATATTAACACTTTTTCATTAATTCTGAGGTGTACCATAACTTTCAGTTTATTATTTTGTTGAAAAAATTCATATATCGTAAAATTATTGCAAAATTATAAATAAATTGTTTATATAGTTAGTAAGATGAATTTAAAAATACATTGATATCCATTAAACTTCAAATTTGTATTATAGATTTCAAATATTTCTTCTATCTACAATACTGTTTGCTTTTTCGTATTTTAATTCGTTTTTATATTTTATAATCATGGGGATTCCAATTCATTTGACAATAATATTTAATTAATCATTGTACAAAAGTATTTCCTACTTTAACTGATTTTAAGAAATATAAGAAATATTGAAATATTTTCTCTTTAACTTTAGTAGTTCAACTTTTTTATCCTCTTCAACTGATTTAGCTGATTTCAAGTACTACTAATGGAATGCTTTTGCTTCATATTTGATTATTCCAATTTCATTTTCATTTTAATAGCAATAACCAAGTCTATAATTTCCCACTTCAGCTTATTTCAAACATCACTGAAATATGTTCTCATTGCTGTACATATATACTATATATATTTTCCATTTTAAATGGTTTTGAAATTTAATAAATAAATTCAAATAAACTTTGAATTCGTTGAATTAATATATAACTTTTATTTGAATTTATTATCTAATTCATTAATCGATTTATATATATATAATGATATTTTTAGGTAATAAAATTACCAAATAAAAATTTTTTAGGATATGTGAAGTTGAATTTCGCAACTCATTTTTTTCATTTCATTTCGTTTTTTTTTCACACGATAACGATTCTCTAAAATTGGGTTCGGTTTAGAGGCTAAAGTATCGTTTTTGAGACACCTATGGTTATTTTTTTATAAATATATGTTTATGCATCAAAAAATAACTATTTTGTCACATGAAATTTGATATATCAAAAAATAACCATAAATATATCAAAAACAATACCTTTGCGGTTTAGAGCATTCCGATCTGCGTACATTATATTAAGTTTGTTCATAGAGCGTTACATAATATTCGAAATGTTAGATAATTTTCATAATATAGAATTTCGTAATCGTCGCATTTCCTTTTTTTATATATAAAATAATTTCTTACATCTAAAGATGGTTAATTTAATTATTATCAAATGCCAAATAATTAATTTTATTTATTTTCTGAAGATATTAAAATTACATAATAATGACATATATTAACGGATAATAATATTATGTAATAAATGTAATAATGTAATAATGTAATAATGTAATAATGTAATAATGTAATATGTAATATTATAATATGAGGTAATAATAACAATAATAAAATAGTAACTATTACTAAAAATAAATATTATTATTAAATTAAGAATAAAAGAATTGTATTTACATTTTTTTTATTCCAAACCAACTTTTTTTTTTTTTTTATTCTAAACATTTTCTCATTTCCCCATTTCGGTTATCATTTAAATGTTTCAAATAATTTTTCACAATCTTTAAATCTAAATGATAATAATATAAAATTTTCTTGATAAATTTTGGATCCAAATCAATTATACCACATTTATAATCAAAATGAATTTTATTAAATTCTTTTTTTGAATTTGAATCTTTGAAGAAACAAGTTTTTCTTGATGATGATGATGATGGTGAGTGTGATTGTGATGATGATTGTAATGATGATGGAATAGGAATTGAAATATTTTTGCATGGTTTATGAAATACAGAACTATAAAGTATAAAGAAAAAAAAAAGGAGAAATCAAATTAATGTTAAATTTGTTAAAATGATTACGTCGTGATTCGCGACACGACACTATTGTATAAATGTAAGTCCAAATCTACAATTTCTACAGAAAAAAAAAAAAGCTTTTTCTTCAAATTATGTTCTTTGTACATTTTATCTAGTTTAGCAAGCCAATTTCGTTATTTTATCACGAAGCAATTTTTTTTTTTAAAAAAAAAAAATATATGATTTTGCACCAAAAATCAAATATTAAATTTAGTGCCGATCTTACACGGATCATGACTTAACATAATTATTATTATTATTAAAAAATTTACCTGATCTTCGCGACTTTTGACCTATTATTATCATCGTGAACAACTCCCTGACTTAATGATGATGATGATGATTTTTTAAATGTAAAAATTATTGAGCAATCTTTAAATGTAGTAGAAATCAAAAATTCATAAATACGTTGTTGAATTTGTGAATTATCCATATTTCCTATAATTTCTAATTATTATAAATAAATAAATAAATAAAATAAATTAATATAAATATTATTTTAAATATGTGTAATATGAGTATAATTATAAACAAAACAACAAACCTCTAATATTATTATGATTATTATAATTATTATTATGATTATGATAATTATTCTGATAATGATAATTTTGATAATAATGATAATTATTATTATAATTATTATTATTATTATTATTATTATTATAATTATTATTATTATTATTATTATTATGATTATTATGATGATAATGATGATTATGATTATGATTTCTAATATTTTTAATTCTTTGTTTATAATTTTCGACCACAAATTTCCATTCTTCAATTGTTGGATCCAATAAATTTGATTTACTTTGTTGTTGATTCAAGTATAATTTGTGAATACCTTCAATATCTGTTTCATCTAAAGTTCTTTGAAGATATTTGAGATGATTGAATAATGAACTTTCTGCTAAAATTGTTTTTGATAATAATTTTACTACTGAATCCATTATTAATTTATTTTGACTAAAACGAATAAATAAGTGAATTAATAAATCATTAACAATAATTAATATCCAAAATAAAATTCTTACCTTTGGTTTCCATCTGGTGAATTAAAAACATCAATTTCAAAAAATTCACTTAATTGTTGTTGCCAATTCTAAAATAATAACAATAATAATAAATAATAAATAATGATAATCATATGATATTAAGATTTTAATTTTAATTAATTAAAATAAAAATAAAAGTAAAAATAAAATAAAAAATAAAATACCTTTTCTAATGGCACCTGTTCACCTTGTAAAAATATTTTTAAATTATTATCAGGACATTTAAATAATTCTTCAATAGATTTCTCCATTCTTTGATTTTCAAAAGATATTAAATCCAATGGACAATATCCTGTTATTGATGATTGATCGAATTTATTATCTTTTTGTTTATAATGTTTATGCATACAAAATCTACATGTTTGAAATTTTATAGAATTTTGAGGTGAAATAAAAGGTGAAGATGGTAAAAATAACCATTTCGGTTTTAATTCTATCGATAAAGTTGGTGATGAAATAGGTGGTGGTGATATTGCAGATGATGACGATGATGATGATAAAGATCGAGATAAAGATCGGGAAGATGATGATAAAGATCGTGATAACGATCGAGTGGATGATGATAAAGATCGAGTAGATGATGATGGTAATAATATAGACGATGGTAGAGTCTGAGAAGTTATTAATGGAAACTGGGTTTGATCAGAAGTTAAAATTGCATATTGTTGATTGAAATCAATGTCTTTATGAAGTCGTTTAACAGATCGGAATCGACGAATGGAATTCGATAATTCTTTTAGAAACTTTGTCTGGACTTTTAATAATATCTATTCAAAAATAAAATTACAATATTGTTATCCCATTATTATTATTATTATTATTATTATTATTATTATTTATTATAATTCTATAATTATTTTATTATTTATCACATCTATCACATCAATCACATAAAATATAGAGTTTAAACTTACTGTTTCACCAACATATTCGCAAATACTTTCTCCGAGAAGTGGTTTGACAACATTATCAATATATAAACATAAAAAAATCGGGGAATCCTTTGAATCTCTTGTTATTGTGGTGGTGGTACTATCAATATCCATATTTTCATTATCTTCATCATTTGAATCGTTTTCATCATAATTTGATTTTCTTAGACGAAGAACAATTCCCAACTTTTAATAATAAATAAAATAAAATAATTATTAATATTATTTCTATTGGTGTTAATATTAATGAAGGAAGAGATAATAATAATAATAATAAAAAGAATAATAATAAGAATAATAATAAGAAGAAGAATATTGCAATAATTAATAATCATTGTAATAACAATAATAATAATAATAATAATAATAATAATACTTGAAACGAAACAATAAAATAATAATAAAAATAATAAAAAAAATTAACAATTACAATAATATAGCAATAATATGATACTATTTCTTACGAATTTCTCGTTCTCTCCATTATATGTTAAAATTATGTTAGCATTGCCTTCAGCTTTGAAACGCCACACTTTAGTAGAATAAAGTTCGGGAATTGATTCAATACGTGTCATGTTTTTATTGTGTGATTGTATAGATATGTAAATATATACTGTATATGTATGTATGTATGTATATATAATCTAAAATTTTTTTTTTTTTTTTGAATGGTTGAGGTTGTTGTCTTTAAATTTTTTTTTTGAATTTTATAATAATTTAATTTATAATTAAATTCGTCCTTAGAAAAAAAAATTAAAGGTTAAGAAAAAAAAAAAATGAAAAATGAGAAGAAAAATGGGAAGAAAGAAAGATAAGATGGGTTAAAAATCATATAACAAATGATAAAATATTTATTTTTACTGTTTTTTTTTTTTAAAAAAAAAAAGATCAAATAGGAAATACTTTGTCAATCAGAATGTGGAATGACGCAATAAAAACACATCAATAAATATTTGGATGATCATAAAAATTCAATTCTAGAAATTTTATTTTATTATCGAGTATTATTTATAATAATACTACGCAACTAAATGAATGAAGATAAATGATGATATAAAATGTAATTGAAAAAAAATATACATGAAGAATAATGAAGAATAAAAACGTATGAAAAAGTGAAAATAAATGTTATTATATAATAAAAAGTAAATTAAAATCATAAAAAAAAAAAAATAAAATAAAATAAAAATTGTAAATAAAAAAAAAAAAAAAAATTATAAAAAGTAAAAATTATAAATACTAAAAATTATAAATATTAAAATTAATAAAAATAAGAATTAGCTCTACGTAATTCATCAATCGAATTCCTTAACTTATATGAATCATGATGACTAATAATATGACCATGACTATTATTATCATTATTATTATCAATAAATGATAAACCTACCATTCCTTGTACTTTTATTCCACTAATTTCAACTCCTGCACCAACTCGAAATGGAAATGGATCCGAATTACATGAAGTGGGATTCGTGGAATTTGTTGATTTTATGGTATTTGTCATTAAGGAAGGAGGAAAATAAGTGGAAGAAGGGGAAGATGTAGATGATGATGATGATGATGATAAAGATAATGAAGTAGAAGTATTGGTAGTTATAGATGAAAAAGTTTTTATTCCTGTCAAACTTCGCATTTTTTTAATTGATGGACGTTTTGGAGGTGTTGTTATTACTTTTGATAAAGTTGAAGGTGGTGTCGTCATTATTGTATTTGCTAAAATTGAAGGTGGTGTCGTTGTCGTCATCATTTCATTATTATTAATATGATTATTATTTAAAGATGAATTCGTTATAGATATAGTTTTTTCACTTTCTACATCAACATCAACATCTCTTCTAATTCGATCACTTGGATCTTCATATCCTTCAAACATTAAATCGAAATAATTTATAGAAAGTTTCATAAATATTCCAACTCCACCACAACTAACTTCTTTATCATTTTCTTTATCATTTTCTACCAAAGTACACATACTAACATCTATTAATGGATTACCACTATGTACAAGATTTGGTGCAAACATTACAGCTAAATTATAAGATGTCATTAAATTTTTATCTTTATGTTTTGATACATCAACTAATAATCCACAAACATATTTTAAAAGTAAAATTGTGGCGTGAGATAATAAAGGAAAAATGTTACTTCTTATAAATTCTATTTTTCCGAAATTTTGGGGTCTCTGTCGAATTTGTCTAAGTAAATCATAAGTTTCTACTGGAAATACTGCAACTGGTAAATTATTAAAAAACATTTTAAGTAAAACTGCTGCTACGTGAACTCCATAATCTTCTAAATTAATAGGATTGCCTCGATCATATGCATCTTTTGCTTGTTTTAATAAAACTGAACTGGGTGATCTACGAAATACTCCTTCAGTATATAATCCTAAAATAATAAAATAAAATAAAATAAATAAAAATAAATAAAAAATAAAATAAATAAATAATATTTTTAAAAAAATAATAATAATTATAAAATAAATAATATAATATTAAAAATAATAATAATAAAAATAAAATAAAAATAAAATAAATAATAAATAATAAATAAATTATATAAAAATAAAAGATATTAATTATAAAGAATTCCAATTATTGGATAATAATAATACCTTCGGCTCGTAAAAAAGTAACACAATCTTTAACTACTCTTGGTAATCCATTCTCCCCTTCTGATCCCATAAGTTGTTCAATCGGAATATTAAACATCAAAGGTCCATTTTCATCATCAATTGACGATTGGGGAAGTGTGATTCTTTCTTCAAATTTTAAATTATGTCTAAATATAAAAATATTCAATAAATAAATAATTAAATCATAATTTATCACGAAAATTTTAATAAAAATATGACGTTACTCATAAACAGCCGGTGGTATATCGATTTGTGTTAACGGGATATCAATAGCTAATTCCGATAAAGTATGTATATATTTCATTTTTTTGGAAAATTTAGGACTAAAATCATAAATATAAAATAAAATATATTTTAAATATCAAAGGAATAAATATATTATAAATTTAGAGGAAAATATATTATAATAAAATATAAAATAAATAATATTAAATCGTGAATTTGAATAAATAAAAAAAAATACCTAATCATAGCATTCATAATATCAAAATACAAACGAGCCCAAGTTGTTGGTTGAACTACGTACAAAGATTTGAGATTTTTCTTATACCTATAAATAACAATTTAATTACAGGAAATTATAGGAATGCTAGGAATATCACACGAAAAAAATGTCCCAACGTAAATTAATGATATCTAATAAAAAAAAAAAAAAAAAAGTTACTCACTTTCTACCCAAACTTTTATACGCTCGAAACATCCAACTCCATCCTGGATTATGTTTGGCACCTCCTGCAAAAAGTACAACTGTATAATCACTTTCTACAAATAGATCAAGTTTGAGTAAAATTCGTCTAATAATGGAAATTATTAATGAATCAGAATTATTAATAGAAAATTAGTTATTCGTTAAATGGTTAATAATATATATATAATAAAAATATAATAATAAAATATAATAATAAAATATAATAATAAAATATAATAATAAAATAATAATAAAAATAACATACTCCAAAATCCTATTATAATCTACTTCCTTTGGATCCGGCAAATTACAGGCACATATAATCACCATTGGTTTACTCTCAAAATCAACTCCTAATATCCATTGTATAAAATTATTTCATTGTATAAATAGTAATATATGATCATTATAGTATTTGATTTCACCATTATTATCATTCCATCATTGTATTATTATATTTTTTATTGATTTTTTTTTATCAGGAGTAATTAAAAAGGGGGGGGGGGTTTAATATAATAATAATTTTTTATTTATTCATGGGGGGATTGATTATTTAAAGAAAGAAAAATATCATAAATATCAAGAAAAATATATTAATTATTATTATTATAACAATGATATTGAAAAATAAAGGAATTATTCATAAAATATATATTTGAGGATATATTTGAGAATATATTTGAGAATATTGAGAATGAAAAAAAAAAAAAAATAGATATATGAGAAAATATGAAGGAATATTAAGTATCAAAATTTGAAAAAAAAACTTGTTTATTTGAAAAAAAGCTCAACTTACCGGCTTGATAAATAACTTTAGAATATACATAGTCAGCTAAAGCTTCTTCATCAACTGAAGTTCTTGATGATTGATACTTTAGTTTTAGTTCTGGTGAAGGTTTTGCGAACAAACGTCTCCACATTATTATTATTATTATTATTATTATTATTATTATTATTGTTATTATATATCTATAAATATCTTTTTCATATATATATATATATACTGCATGTACATACACTATATATCTCTTGTCTTTTATTTTTATTTTTTTTTGCTTGGGGTTTATTATTTATAAGAGGGAAAAAAAGGGGAAATGGTGTCAAAAGTCAAGAATGATGAGTTAATATTGTTATACGGCATGGGAAAAAAAGAATTTTCCGAGTTATATATATTTGGTTTAAATTTTTTGATTTACGTTATACAATTTATTTATTATGATTGAAAATTGAATTAAATACAGTAGTAATATAATAAGCTAACTGTAACTGCTAAAGGATAATATATTTAATTATATTATATTTAAAAAATTATTTTTTTAATTTTCTTTAATATGATATTATATTCTTTCTCTAACTTAATGCATTCTATCTAAATTTGAGAATGATTTGTTTGATTTTAACATTAATATCATAAGTTATAACAGTTGCAGTTGAAGTAGTTAGTTTATCCGACTTTAATAAATTACAATTACATTTAAAATTAAATAATTTATTTATTAAAATAATTAAAATGGTAAACATGACATAAATTTTCCTGATTTTTATTTCGGTTGAATGAGATATATTTGAAGATTATTTTTGAAATTTAATTACCTTTTTTTTTTGAAATTGTCGAAAAAATATATCTATCAATTATTAAACGAGTATCAGAATGGTCACGCATAATTCCACCAAAACTATAAATATCTCTCTTTTTTGTGAATTCATTTTCTCGTAAAACTTCGGGTGAAATATATGAAATTGATCCATAAATATTATTCTTTTATTATCCGATTTTTAATATTAAGTCATCAACTAACCTAAGTCTGTAATGGCTGTACCATATGAATCTATAGTCTAGCCTGTATAATATTCTATTAAATATTTCCACTACGTATGTAGGTCACGATGAACTAAGTTTTTTATATGTCAAGACCTAAATCTAATTTTATTTTTTTCTAACTTAATTTCAAAAAAAAAAAAAATTTTTTGGTAAAAATTTATGCAACTATCATGTAACTTCATAACAATAATATAATTTTGAGTGGAAGGAATTTTGAAATCCAAAACATTCTATATTTCTTGAATCAATTGCACTTATCCAGGTAATTATTGTGAAGAAATATTTATTAATAAAATATTACAAATTTCAATTTACGCGAACGAGGTACATGTATCTACATAAGTAATAATAGTAGAGAATCAATTGTAATATAAAAGAACAGTAATTGATCAAGTAGTTTTGCCTTTTGATGAAGAACAGTTCATCTAGTTCTGATATTTAACAAGCTTAATAGTTAAAAGAAATATATATTTTTGTAATAATAATACTGTAATTCTTTATAAACCGATCATTAATAAAATAATAATCGACCTTTGGTTCTTGTATGAACTTTCTTTGTAAACTTGTTGTTGATAAATCTACGTTTTATTGCACCTTGTCAAGCGATACAAGCTTAATTACGTGACGTCTACACCGTTTATTTGTTATTAAGTTTAGTTTGAATTGATATTTGTGTGATTTTCACTACTAAACGATTATAATTTATATCAGAATCCTCTTCACTTTAAATTCTTATTTTTATAATTATTCGTCTGTTTCACTAAAGGTAAAGTATTTAATTAAGCATTTTGATAAAATCATCATTAAAAATTGTAACATTTGAAAGAATAAAAAAAAAACCTCATAATACTATACATTGAGTTCATATTGTTGCATGGTATCTCATCTTCTAAACTCATTTCTATATTTGATATGTTTCGTGTCTTTGCATAAACTTTGTTGTTGACAATAAAAAACTTTTAGATAAAAATAATATGGATAATTTCAAACTACAGAATTTATATAATTTTTCAGTTTACTCACTTTCATCTCGCATGTAAATTGACGAATTATATTGTATAGTCGACTGCTTCATTATTATTATAATCTTGATCATTATTATCATTGTTTTTCATTGTTTAGATAATAATTTATTAAATTTGAATTAAAAAAAATTCTAATTTCAGGATTTTCTAAATAAAAATTTCACATAACTTTATTTCGCCATTCCCAGTTTTCATTTTGTATTTTTAATTTTATAATGTTAACAATTTATAAATAAAATTGAACAAAAATTGTATTTAAAAAAATTTGAACATTTGCTGGAATAAAACCTAGCTCGAGAAATTTACATCAAAACAACATCTTTTAATCATTTTATTAATTATGTACTTGCCATACACTTTACATTCAAAAACTATATTTTATCTAACTATCAAAATTATATATTATATTGCAGATCATTTAAACTGATACGTCAATTAATATAAAAAATATTTCAAGTAAAATCCGAATATTGTAAATATAGATATTATGAACAACGTGAATTATATTAAAAGTATCATAATTTCTCATTTATATCATTTATAACTAAATTCATATTAAAATTTCTAAATGATCATAAACCACTATAATCAATCGAAATATACTTTAAATACCTCCATTTCTTCAGCAACAAAATCATTAACATCTAATATAGATTGATCATAAGAACTTTGGTAACATGAACCATTCCTGCCATTAAATTCTAAATCACCATTTCCAAAATTAAGCATGAAATTATTATCATAACATAAAGCATTTCCGGAAACAAATTTACCTATTTTTATCTTATAATTTTCTCCAAATGAAAATATAAAATGATTTCTATTATTATCTGAATACATGGAATTAATATTATTATAACCAAAAGTAGTGAATCTTCCATTATTATAATAATTATTATAATTATTATAATTCCAACCAGATGCATTAAATCCACCAATGATTTTTTCTGAATTTTGAATCTTAATTACTGCGATAGCTTGACCTTGTCCATTAACTTTTGAATAAAATGTATTAACATCATAACCATCACGACTTCCCCGATAAAGAAGTTGAAATTCATATGTATTTCTTGAAGAAATTGTTGAAGTTGAATCCATTTGATGAATCCAATTAGATAGAATAGCTGCATGCTTTCTTCTAATAATTTTCGATTCAGGAAGGTCTACATATTGATATGGCAAAGATCTTGCAGGAAGACTCTTATGTTGTGGTTTAGTCCCAGCCATGAAGAAGGACATTGCATCTTCAAATAGTGCTAATGGCAAAATTTTTTTGTATGGACGTACTTTATTATAGAAATCTTTTGATGAAATTTCATAATATCTAATATGTGAAATAAAAGGATCTAAAGTTTCCTTTAAATCCCTGAAATTTGCATCTGTAAATTTTCTAACATCTTTTTGTTTAATTGCAAGAGTTTGAGAAATCCCCCATTTAATAAGATAATCCCAAAGATCAATTTCCTCAATTCCAAGATCATCACGCTTAATTAATCCTAAAAAGATATCTTTATCAAGGATCGGAAAATCCCTAGAGGTAAAGAAAGGTTCAGGATCTGTACAAATGGACTCATAACAATAATCTTGAAGTTGTTTACAGCTTGCAAGTTTTGACACTATAAGCAAAACCTTAACAAGATTTTTGTCAAGCCAGGCTTCTTCATTTTCAATAAGAAAGTTTTGAACATGTTCTAACAATTCTTCAATAAACAGTTCATCAGATGCCACAAGAAGTTCAAGAATATCAGAACTAGAGACATTTGTTAAATCGAGAATTCCAGTGTAGATATATCTATTTTAGAGAGAATAATTATTTAATAATTTAATATTAAAATTTATATGATAAAAATTAATTATATAATCTTACTTGATTATCAAAGTAAACACAGGAGGAGAAATATTTGGTTTTGTAAATAAAATGATCCCATCTTTTTTATTGTTAGTCCATTGATTTGAGAGAGCACTTTTGAAATAAGGTGAACGCGCTCTTAAAATTATCGAATGTGCACGAAACTCTTGTGTATTTTGATCTTCGCCAACTTTAATTGTAACGTCATAATCATAAGTGTCTTCAAGAAGTTGAAAAAAACTTTGAGATAAACCAGGATAAAATTCAGTTCGCATCATGAGTAAGTTTGTTGATGCAGATGAAAAAATGATTATCTCAACTATTTACCATTATGTAATAAATGTAATAATCACATGTTCCACAAAAGAATTCGGGATTTTCCACCTGTTTCAAATGGACCCTCTTCTATTGAATGATTATTTAAATGGGTAATATGTTATCTTACTAATGAAAAAACAATATATTTTATCATAGTTTTCGGAAATATCCAGATTCAAAATTCATTTTTTAGGTTCATCTAATTTTTCAATGAATGTGAGAATTCAAATTACATAAAAAATCGAATAGAATTTAAATTACATTCAAAAATCAAATAGAATTTAAAACTAAAAAATATTTATTCAAATGAAGAAAGAATAAATGAGAAGTAATCTACAATCAATCAATAAAAGAAATAACTGAATTCAAAAAAAAAAAAAAAGATTTTTATTATATATTTGAAAAATATAATTATTTAAACGCTAATAATAATTCAAATATAGGAATTCATATGTCAATACATTTATAATTAGGGTTCTTACGAACAAACGTCTTCACATTATTATTATTATTATTATTTTATATCTCAATACTGATATACAGTGAGCCCGCACCTCTGGGACTAGAATTAACGTGCATTTATTGAGAGAAATTTTATAAATGTTATTAGTGGATGTGGCTGTAGTGAAGGGTGCATTTAAAGAGAGATGCACTTATAGAGGGGTGCATTTATAGAAGGTTCACTATATCTTTTTATATACTGTACATATGTTCACTATATATTTCTCTTGTCTTTTATTTTTATTTTTTTCCTAGAAATTATTATTCATTAGAAGGGGAATAGGAAAGGATGTCAATGATTATACATAATTAGAGTTATTGTAATATGTCATGGGAAAAAGAATTTTCCGAGGTGTTTAAAAATTTACAATGAATTTCTGATTTTTTTTTAACGACTAACGGAGCGGAGGAGTATCTTTATTCATAATAAAAATTACAATGTAAATATAAAGTTATATAAAAGAATAAAAATTGGCTTTGCTAAGATAAAATCTATCCATCCCAAACAAAAAATATAATAATAATAAACTAAATGGTAATAAAGGAAATTTAACTTTTTTTTTAATTTTTAAATATATAAAAATAATATATAAAATATATAAATATATATAGAAATAATATATAAAATATAATTTTTAATTCGTGATTCGCGATAAACGGAAAGAAATCTACATATAAGAACCATAATCTAGTTCCGGAATAAGAATACCACAAGAACTATCTTATAAAAGTCCCTTTCTCTATTAACATCATAAAAAGCAATGGTTCTGATTTGAATTTATTTTTAGTTTCAAAGGACAACATTAATAAAGATAAAGAGATATGCCTTTTTTTTTAACTATTAAAAAATTATTTTATATATTATTGTGGTATTATCTTTATATTTTAAATTTATCATTAATTATTTATTAAAACCATAACCTTGAGATTTTCCTGATCTTATTTCTTCTAATTATGCAATCCATGAAGAGTATGAATAGTTCTGCAAAAATAACAAGATTATGAATGAGGTGTATGATTTGTTTTCCAGAGTTTCGATTGCTTTTTCTTGATTTTCATCTGTAGTCTTAAATTGTTGAAAAAGATTACCTTCTACACTTTATTATTCAGCAATAACTCAAATAAATTCTAAAACAATTCGAATATTTCTCCAGCATCGATGCATCAAATCTAAATATAATTTTGGGATCCAATCCAACGTATGATCAGAAATCTTCGGTCTTACTTCATTGTATATATTAATTATTAAACGGGTATCATGTGCTTGATCATAAAATGGCTGTTTTCCAGTTGCTATTTCATACATAATTCCACCAAAACTATAAATATCTCCTTTTTTTGAGTACGTGTCTGCTCGTAAAACTTTAGGTGGAATATATGGAATAGATCCATAAATGTCATCCGATTTTAATATTGAACCATTTTCTAAACTACATGAACCAAAATCTGCAATTGTTTTAAGATTTGAATTGATAAATCCGAATAACTTTTTACCAAAATTATTTCCAGCATGTTGATCACAGTGTTCTTATGTAAATTAACAAGACTACCTGTTATATTATATAGTAAATATAATTTTATTTCCAAAAATTGGCTTTTAAATTTATGTAAGCTGTTATCATATAATTTAATTGCATAAAAATATATTATAAACTATTTCCAATGACAGATAATAAAAGTTCATAATAATTAAAAATTAATTAAAAATACCTCGTTGATAAATTTAGATACCTCATCTTTAGAATCTTTTATTTCCTTCAGAGCAACTTATCACCACATTACGAATCCCAATCAGATTCATTTAAATCCCAATACCATTTTTTAACACCATTTTTTAATATAGTAGAATGCACAGATCCATATCCACCTTCTGCTATGTATTATATATCTGAAAATTATCATGAGGCATCCATTGTATATTATATCCGTAATTTGTTTGACATTCTTGAATAATCCTATCAATTTCGACGTTTTCGCTCGACCAAGTTGAGAATTCTTGAATGAAATGCTCTTTAGTACATAAATCACAATATCCATAGTTAATGATATTTTTTTCATTTCGGTAACTAATATCACTGGTAGAATGACCAATTGGACACTTTCGTTCTTTAGGTGACGCTCTTGATTTCATTTTTTACGTCATTAATGATGTTTATAAAAAAGTATCAACGATCAGTCCTTATTTAAACATTTGTACGGCCATATGTAAAAATATAATAATAATTATCATTATTAATGTAACTTGTTATCAATAAAAGAAGAGACATCAATAAATGTGGCTTATCACAATCTGACAACTATCCAACTATTTTTTTATGTACTTTCATGCAAGCAAATAAATTACACTCAAAAATATTAGAATTTATGGCTATTTTTTTTTTCATTTTATTTAAATTATTTGAGATTATAAGTCAGTGCATTTTATGATTTAAAAGAGAAAAGTTATCCCGAAAAAATATTTTGAAACACGAAAAAAAAATAAATTTAAAACAATTAGCGAATTATTATTATGCAAGATAAATTTTATTGTATTATTCTTATAATAAAAAATAATAATAAATTAAAATGAAATATAAATTGAACTTCTATGTATTGTTAATCTACAGTAATTTCAATGTTAATATTTTGTTTCGTCATGAAAGTCCAAAGTTAAAAGTATGTATATAAATACTAAATTTCTCTTATTTTGTACAGCATTTTTGGCACATTTTAATTTAGTCACCAATGTTTCGGGCTTGCAGAAACAGATCTTGTCACTGAAGATATATTATTATAATCTTATTTTATTTTCAACAGATAAAATTAATATAAGTGATCGCAAAACGAAATTAAAGACATTTATTCTATTTATTTTCATTCAAAAGACTATCTAAACATTTAACCAGATCTGTTGTATAATATAATATTGTGCTTCTTTGGACATCTCAACAAGTTTCAAAATACCATCTACAACAACAAAAAAGCAGAATGGCCATGGAACATATAAGTTTAAGATCATATCTACCAACACAGAAATTTCAAATTGGGTTGCTGTGACAATTTCATGAGCAGTTGTTAAGCGATCTTCTATTGTGAGATGCTCTTTAACAGACCAATGAGCCAAATATAATTAGCATCTACTTCTCGGATTTGAATCATATAAAAATCTACGTTAGTTCGATATCGCTTAAATATATCATTGAGCACATGAGATATGTATTGGAATAATGGACAGGTATATGAACCACCAAAAAGAACGAGAGGACGTCTTGATTGACAAAGTGATCACAAGGAAATTGAGTTATTATCTTGAGATGATTCTAGGAGAATTATTGGACAATCGGATGCCGACATTCCTTCTGTGAGATCCTCAAGATGAGCAATGTTATTACAAACATATAATTGTGTTGTTCGAAATTCAGGATCATCCAAAAAAGACATTAAACTTAATATATATATATATACAATATATTAAGATATAAATGAAAATGTAATAAAAAATGAATTCACTTGTTACCTGGATAAAACTGTGGAGCACATCACAATATTTGTACAGTCTCATCTGAATAATCAAATTCATTAACCAAATTATGCTGCATCCAGTCAGTGACATCCATCCAATCTTTGCCATATGTAGAATCAGTTCCAACCTTATAATATTGTTCTTATATTTCAGGTGATAATCTTCATTATTTCTTCTCATGTAACAGAGCTAATAATTTCTTTTTTGTAGTTGGAAGTTTTGGAGAGGTAACCACAGTGTTGGTAGAGATATCTGTTAAAATATCTTTAGCTTCCGCGAGATTCAAGAATTTATGAAATAATGGTGCACATTATGAAGAAAGTCAGAAACTTTGATATAACATCTGTAAAAGTGCGAAAATAAGAGATACCGTATATAAAGAATTCATCAGCAAGGAAAAAATTAACACAGTTAATGCAGTTAACATAGTAAATAGAGAAATTGTTACTATGATGGAATGGTTGACCTTGCATCTTTCCTTTCACTTTTACCACTATTGGTACCAGCTTGAACTACTATCTTCAAGAGTTTATTCTGATTGATTTTCTTTAGAAGTTTGTTCTGGCTGATTATCTCCAGAAGTTTGTTCGGATTGTGTGAGTAATGGTAATTCATTGAAATTTTGGTGACCACTGGTTTTTTGAAACATGCTGCCACGTAATCTGCACAAGATGAAGTGTAGATTCTTTTTGGATGTCATAATCAGATAAGGTGTTACCATCTTCCAATTGTTTTCCAGCAAAGATGAGACGTTGCTAGTCTGGGGAATACCTTTTTTGTCTTGGATTTTAGTTTTAACTTGATATATGGTATCACTCGACTATATCTCTAATTCAATGGTTTTTCCAGTCAACGTTTTGACTAAACAAGAGTAAATAAATCAAATCTGCCAAGTCCGTTCAAATTTAAATAACTCATTACTGAAAATAGTAACATGCCATAGTTATTTTTAAAAAATCAGCCAACGGAAAGTAAATAGATTTATCCAAGAATTTTGTCATTGTTATAGTGTTAGTGTGTTACAAAGGTCTTTGAACAGAATTAATTTAGGGAAATTTAACCTGTGCATGGGAGTATAAACTCTTATCATATACCACAGGGGTTAGAATTAAGGGTAGGTATATTTATCATCGTGTGTCACTCTATCATCTTCACCCAAATTAATGCATTCATAAGATTCTTGGGAATCACAATCTAAAGTTGAGAATGATCGTTTTTTGGCATGATTTTGAATTTTTTCTTCCCAATCAATGCATTCTTGAGATTCTTTCGGATCAATATCATAAGTTATAACATTCGAAGTAGATGTTTCATTAGATTTTAATAAATTAGGATCTATGCATTTAAAATTAAGAATTAACTGTTTTTAAAATAATTAATACAATAAAATTAAATCATGAAAAAATATTACCCTGAGATTTTCCAGATTTTATATCTTCTGATGAATTATGCAATCCATGAGAGTATGAATACTTCGACTAATATAGCAAGATTGTGGATGAGACTTGCTGAAGATAGAGATGATACTTGTTTTTGAGATTTAATTGCTTTTTCTTGATTTTCATCTGCAATCCTAAATTGTTGAAAAATATTATCTTCTCTTTTATTCCTACTAATAAATCTAATAGATGTATCGTATAATTCATTGGCAGTTAGTCGTTCAGAAGGATCACCATTCCAACATTTATACATCAAATCCGAATAATATTTTGGTATCCAATCTAACTTAATATCAGGAATTTCTGGTCTTACTCCAGTACATATATCAATTATTAAACGGGTATCATGTGCTCGATCATAAAATGATTGTTTTCTGGTTGCTATTTCATACATAATTCCACCAAAACTCCTTTTTTTGTGAATTCATTTCCTCATAAAACTTCAGGTGGAATTGATCTATAAATATTTTTCTTTTGTTGTCAGATTTTAATATAAAATCATCAGCTAACCTATAAACCTAAGTCTGTAATTGATGCACATATGAATTTGAATAATATTCATAATATTCATAATATTTTATCAAAATGTTTTCACTATGTAGGTCACGATGAACTAAGAACTAAGTTATTTAAATGCAAGAAATAATAAGTTATAATCTAAATAAAAGAAAAATACCTCTTTAAGAAATCCAGATAAATCATGTCTAGAATTATTTATTTCTTTCAAAGCAAATTTAATATCTACGTAAGAATATTCCCAATTGTGTTTATTAAAATTCCAATACCATTTCAAGCCATTTTTTAATATAGCTGAATATATAGACCCATACCTACCATCTGCTATGTGTTTGATATCTTGAAAATTTTGAAAATTAAATTATTATAAGGTTTCATTATATAAAATATTCTGGATCATTTATTTGAGAATTCTGGATAAACTTATCAATTTCGACGTTCCAACTAGACAAGGTTCTAATAAAATATTCTTTATTACAAAACTCACAATATCTACTATCGATTTTAATGCTCACTATAATATTATTGGAAGAATGACCAGCTGTACAATGCACCATTTCTTTTTCTCGAGACATGAAAAATAAAAGAAATGTTCGTTATTGAATACTTTTCAAATTTACAAATAGTATCGTTTGATGGTTTTCATTGCTTTTTCTAATCTCATCATCATTTTAATATCTAATCACGGATGCAATCTATGAAGAGTATGAATACTTCAACTAATGTAGCAAGTTTGCGGATGAGATATACTTGACGATAGAGATGATTCATGTTTTTGAGATTTGTTTTTAATTCTATTGTTGAGCACAGTCATATATTTCATTATTATGTAATTTACCACCATTATTATCGAAAACAAATTTTAAAAGTTGTTATAAATTACAATAGACCATTTTGGATTTTGTATTCAAATTCCGTCATTTATTCTCAAAAAAAAGATAGATATAATATTTAAAAGTAAAATAAGTAAAATAATAAAATGTGATAATAAAAAAAATTATAAAACAAAACATCCTTAATAAAAATAATACTAAATAGTGTGAAAGAAAATATAAATTAAAGTACGACAAGATGTAATCTAAGATGTGATTAATTTTAAGCCGGAGGAATTGCATCCATTATAGCATCATATAATTCATTAGCCACATTGGAATTAAATAGCTAAAGGAATTAAATAACTAAAAAAAATATGATAAAATACAATAAAATAATTTAACATAATAAAAATACAATTACAAAATCACAATTTATAAACCTTAATGGCTAAGGTGTTAAGATTTTATAGTATTAAAAAATTAATCCTAATGCTTTATATTTTATACGTAAAATACAAAAATATATATATATATACAAGATCAATAACTTTTGGCTTGTTCCAAACCATTGTGAAGATGTGACCAAACGCTACAACATTCGAACTAGCCCA